TAAAAAAAAAAGGAAAACAATAACCTCCTTAAAAGAAAAAAGGAGGGAGGGGCAGACAGACTTGGATCTGAACCTAACCACACGTGTGCGTGGTTTGTGTGACAGAAACTGCAACCTGCTGGGAGAGCGAGGAAAAACCTACCGCGCTCCCGACTGGAAGGCTCCAGAGTCAGGACAGCGATCTCTCCGAAGTTCCAGAAACTCCAGCAAGACACTTTATGGGAGGGCAAAGGGCCTCAGGTGGCTAAACTAATTCCACAAAGAAAAGCAAAGTGAAATGAACCACACGACCCAATTTTAGCACTTTCCACAAAGCACAGCAGCAAGGAGACAGTGTGGCCAGAAGGGAGTGTCCAGGAACAGACCCACGCGGCCGCTCTGATCCGACCGCCATGCGGAAGCCGCCCCGTGAAGGGCCAGTCCTCAGCCACTGGGGACCTTGGCCTGAACCTCCCCCTTCCCGTGAACTCCAAGTGAGCACAGAGAAGTGTGGAACCTAACCACGTAAAAGGGGTGCCAGAAGCAGAAAAATATCTTTGTGATCTGGCATCTGGCAAAGAGTTCTAGACGTGACACCAAAAGCAGAGTCCATGAAAGGAAAGCGGAGCTTCGTCAACGTCAAAAACATTCGTTCTGCCAAAGATGTCGAGTATCGAGAGGGGACACACCCGCTGCAGCCGGGAGAGACAGGCGCACGCCGCACACCCGCCCTTGGGAGGTGGGCGCGGGGCACAGGAGCCCTCAGCCCGCGACTGTGCGGGAACTGGCGAGGGTCGGGCGGCTCGGTTGGTCGGAGCGTCATCCCGATGCGCTCCGGTTGAGGGTTCGATCCCATCAGGGCTTGTACAAGAATCAACCAATGAAGGCATGAATAAGTGCAACAACAAATCGATGTTTCTCCTCCTCTCTCTCTCAAATCAATAAATTTAAAAGAAAAAGAAAATAATTCAGTTTCGTGAAAATGTAAACAAAAGACAGCTGGGGTAACAATACTCACAACAGACAGAGTAGACTTTGTAACAGGAGACAGGGAAGGACCCGGCAGTTCCTCCTCTGGGTCCGTATCTTCAGAAACCGAAACGCTAATTCGAAAAGACGTCGGCATCCATGTGCACGTTTACACCGCAGCACGACGTACAGTGGCGGCGTGTGGACACGCCTGTGCGTGGCAGGCCAGTGGGTGAGGAAGTGGTGCGTTCGTGCGAGGGAGTGAGACCCACAGAAACGCAGGGAGGTCTCAGCCTTCGCGGCCACGTGGACGGACCAGAGGGCCCAGTGCTGAGTGAAGGGAGTCGGACAGAGAGGGACAAATGCCACACATACGGCCGCACTTATATGTGGAGCCTAGAAAACAAAAACGACCGAACAGGACGGGAACAGACTCGTAGACACAGAAAACATTCTCAAGGCTGCCGGGGGGGGGGGGGGTGGACTGGGTGAGGGTAGAGGAGCTCAGACCGGCAGCGACAGGATCCAGCACAGGGGACACAATCGGTGATGTCGCCACTGCAGGTGGCGCCAGGTGGGTGCCAGGGAGTCACTTCATAAGTTACATAAATGTCTAATCACTGCAGTGTATACTTGAAACTAATATTGCACCTTCACTATAATTGAAAAATAAAACATTATTTTAAGAAATTAAGGTTTCAGCCCTGGCTGGTGTGGCTCAGTGGATTGAGCGCCAGCCTGTGAACTGAAGGCTCGCAGGTTCGATTCCCAGTCAGGGCACGTGCCTGGGTTGTGGGCCAGTCCCCAGTAGGGGGTGTGCCAGAAGCAACCACACATCGATGTCTCTCTCCCTCTCTTTCCCTTCTCTCTAAAAATAAATAAAACAAAATCTTTATGAAAATCAAAGTTTCGAGCACAGTGCTTTTTCCCTTCCACATGGTCTGAGGTGGTTAATTTCGATCGTCAACCTGACTGAACCCTGGGGGGCCAGGTGTGTGTGGGGGGCTGTTGCGGCAGCCGGGAGCACATGCCCCCGAGTCCTCCCTGCTGCAGGGAGGCAGTGCCCTGCCCTCCGGGGCAAGCAGAGCGCAGCGAGGGCCTTCCTGCGCCCCCCGCCCCGGGAGGCGCCCCCGAGAGTCTGTAGCGCACTTTCGGGTGCCCGTGCGGACGCAGGTCCGCACACGGGTCTATGACCTCCTGCCCTATCAGGTCCACCGCCAGAACCCTGACAAATGCCACCAGGGGTGGGGGCCAGTGGAGCTCCGCCCACCTGGCGCCCCCACGGGGTTCAGCAGGGTTCCTGCAGCTTCACAGGCACGTGCCTGCGACCTGGAGGAGCTCCCGCCAGGCCAACAGGCGCCGCGGGGCGTCGCCGATGTCCCCTCACCAAGCCCTGGACCGACGGAGACGAGGGTCTGTCCCCAACAGCCACACAGAGCAGGCGGCGAAGGCCGGACCCGCGAGGGCCCAGGCCCGGGTGCGTGTCTGGTTTGTCAGGACACTTAGGCTCTTACGGATATTTTAGGTGACAAATGTCCAGCCTGAGAGAAATTCGGTTAAGTTTTTCTCTTGCTTTTATTACAAGCATATAATATTAATTGGCAAAACACTGAATACAAGCTTCACTGTCATAAAATCAAAACATTTAAGCAATATTCCAAAAAAGATTTTAGACAAAAACTAGCCACCAATAGTACAAAAATTACACACCAACACAAAGCATAAAAATGTAAACTTTCAAATTAAACATCAAAACTATGTATTTGCATCGGCACCTCCGTAACCCAGAGCAGCACCCGCAGACCACACGGGACACTCAGGCCTCGGAGCTTCCGCCCGAGCCCGACGCCGTCCGGGGAGACGTGGTTTTCTCACACCCAGAGCGGTGTGGGGACGCGTCTGCATGGAGGCTGCACACCCCAGGGCACGTCACACTACAGTCCACCCTGTGACTGGGGGACGCGGTGGCTGCCGGGCCCCTCTGGTCTGCCCTCCCAGCTCACGCCAGAGAGAGGCAGACGTGGCTCACAGGAAGGTCTCAGGGGCTGGGTGGGGCGTGCGCGGGTTCCTGAGGAAATAGAGAGGCTGACTCTGGTACCTGCACGACGGGCACCGTCCGTGTTTTGCACTGACGGTGCGCATCGGGTACCGACGCGTGACCTGGAAGTCAGCTGGCTTGTTCCTAGGTCACTGGATCCAGTGACGCTTTTCCAGCTGGTGGCGACGCCCCAGTGCTAGGACATGGGAGGGGCCCCAGGGACTTCCAGTGAGGCCGCTCTGGAGGGCTCTGAGGCCAGGGAACACGTCACGGTCACATCCTGGCTGACATGGGGTGGCACCGGGGCACACAAGGTCACGCGATTGGTTGGGGACGGTGCTGCAGGTCCCCTCTTGGCTGCCTGCCGGTCGCTCACTGCAAATACTGTGGACAGGCCCACACACAGTCCCAAGAACAGCATTCTCGGTGTGACAGTGGGGAAGGAACCGAAGAGCTTAATGTAGATTCTCAGATTCCACCTACATTCCCTTTTGATGTAGCGGAAAGATGCTACTTACAACTTAACAGACGTCTGACGATGTGCCGGAGCCTATTGCACAAAAGCACAGAAGGCGTCAACAGTGCTCTTCGTCCGCAGAAAAGAAACATACAGGTCGGAACCACTCAAAGGGGAGGGGAAGCTTGCAGAGTGCCTGGCCTCACTTATATGCCTGTAACTAAAGCCGAGCCACGGGAACGGAACATGGGTGGGAAAATATGATAGAAGGCTTAAAATAGAATAAATAATTTTATAAAGTTTTCTTTTTTCACCCCCCCAAATCTTAAATTCCATATTATATACTCTATCTGAATTCTGCTGTCATGAAAACCATCCGGTGAGTCCCAGGCTGCTGAGGGCACGGGCCGTGGAGCAGCCGTGTTCCAGCAGCACCAACACGCGTGAAGCGACTTCACAGCGACTCCACCCGTGAACCCGGACGGGCTCCAGCCGAGAGCTGCCCCTGACTTTAGTGCTGCAAACGCGGAGCCGTGGAGCGGAGCAGCCCCGACGCGTCCCTCCGCAGCGGCTCCCGCCGGTGCAGCCAGGCGGCCAGGGACCGTCCTGCAGGCCGACAGTCTGCACGAGGAAATCTTAGAAAAATAGGTACTTCTGCTGCTGAGGTTTCATCCGGTTAACACGGTTACAAAAGCGGGATCACACCAGAGCGGCGGGCAGCCAGCTGTGATGTCCACACCCGGACCTACCTCCATTTCTCTGTGTATTTAAATGTATCAACTTAGCACCATAGCAAATTCAAGTGATTTCAAAGAACTACAAAGTTACAAATATACATCAGGAGGAGATTGTTACAGACACATTTGGTGGAGTCCGAGCCCGAATGCTTCTGTTTGAATTTGGACGCTCACCTGTTCACCCCCTCACGCCGCAGGGGAAATCCCCGCGTCCCAATGACCCACTGAGACCGCGCTATGCCCCTCCGTGGTCGCACAGACGCGTCAGCAGTGATGTGCGTGTTGAGGTAGACAGGTCATATTTACTCACACACACCTGCTCGCTAAGCCCTCGGAGAGTCACTGAGAACAGCCTGGGAGAACAGCAAGCTCGGTGACGGGGCGTCCGCACAGAACCGGGAGAGAAGGGGCTGAAACAGACACTGAACTCTGGCCGATTCCTAACCAGGTGCTTGACGGTTTTATAGGCCTGACGTTAGAGTCGCTGGGACTGAACCGATCAGAATGTTTTCTCCACGAGGAGGGCACACTGGCAGCTGCTTCTGACGCCCGTGCACATAATGCAAGAAGCAGGTCGGGGAGCCCCACCAGAGCCGCGGGAGCACATTGGAGACCCAGTCTGGTCGCTGAAGTGAAACACTTCATGGAAACCTGGCCCTTGGGCCGGGCAGGTGACGGAGCCGGAGTGCAAGATCACCAAGGAGCCAGCGGGACACAGTCAGTGGCAGCCAAGCTCCAGGACAACACTGTCACCACTGAGAACGGTCTTTCTACTTGATCTCACATCACACGCTCCAAGGTACCACTTTAAAGGGACACGTTTATGTGCTGGCAAAAAGTTTATTCTCTAATTCCACAAAAATATTAACATTCGGGAGGAGAAAGGGGTTAGACACTGTGAGTCACCTGCGGCTGGTTGCAGGTCCTTAGCAACTAAAGCCGCCACCTTGCTGCCCTGCCCGTGGGGCTCAGTGAGAACCTCCCCCCACAGAGGGCGCGAGAGGAGGGCCAGGCCGCAGCCCCTTAAAGGGAGGGCAGGTATGGTGGGGAACCTGGGTCTGCCGAGTCCCCACAGGCACAAGCCCCTCCTCTGCTGGGAAAGCCCCCCACCCCCCAAAAGGCTGCCACTCCCTCTCCAGCAAAAGGAAGATGGGGCAGGGTGGGCAGGGGGCCCGGCGGCTGGAGCCCTGTCTGATAACAGAAGGGATTTCTAACAAGAGGCTCTGCAAACCAGGGCCAGGTCCCAGCTGCGCTGGGGCCGCCGGTGCCGGGAGCACGAGGGGGTCAGAGAGATCCGTGGCTTCGTGGGGTCTCACAGCAGGGACACTGAAGGCCATGGTGGATGTGGAATATGAACAGCAACCTCTTTTGGTATGCTTTTAAATTAATTTTTTTATAGGTCTTCTAGCCTTCGGGAAGCTAAAGGCAACATAAATATCGTCATTCACCATGAAAAGATACTTTTTCAATAACTTAGGGAAGATTCGACACACGTACAAGTATTTTTGAGGCTCATCCTGAAACCTAATTCATCAACTAAACCGAAACGCTGTGGTTCTGAGACCTGGAAGCAGGCGGGGCCGCACGGCGGCGGGAGAGGCCGCTGCGGCCACGGCCGGTCCCAGGCGCCGAGGGACCGCGGGCCGGGTCAGGGGCGGGAGCCTGTGAGGTGTCGCCACCTTGTCACCGTGCTGCTGGTAGTGTCTTGTTGAGTGCGAACTCTCTCGTACAAAAGTGATAAATACTCTGTTCAGAAGTCCGGTCCCCAGGACCGAGGCCCCTCCGCGGGCACGTGGTCCTGCACGCGCCGTGCGTCACAGCAGGTCCATCTTGGGTCTGTAGTGCAGCAGGAGCGGCGCCTTCTGCAAGACAGGCTGGCGTGAGGACTGCACCGCGCTGGGCGCCACGTCAGGGACAGAGGGCGACAGGGCCGGTCTCGGGGGTGCACCCTCCCAAGACAGGGCACCACCATCTGCCCCCATGCCCACAAAGAGCAAAGAGCCACTTGGGGCAGGAGACGTGCCCCCCACAGCTTGGGGTCACACCCCCACCGGGCGGGCAGGGCTGCGTGGCCAGTGAGTGGGAGGCAGCCCAGGGGCCGAGTTAAAACCGACCGCGTGTCACAACCACCCTGCGACCAAACCCCATCTGGGCTCTCGGACGGAGACGTGCAGTAGGGCCGCCACCTGTGCTCCGGAATGAAACTGACCGCTGGGCACCGAGTGCCACGCCTCACCTTGAATCTCCATCTTGTGACGACCACAAACTTGAGTGTGTGGTCCTTGCCCAGGATTTCCTCATTGCATAAAATGTCCAGCTGGGGGGAGAAGAAGCTCCGGTCAGTGGGCCTGCAGGGCAGCTCTCCACACCTGTGGCCTGTCTACACCAACGAGGCGCTTGGCTGGGCCTGACCGCGCCCTTGGGAACGGAGCAGGAGGAAGCCCACTCCGCCGCAGGGGGCCCAGGGCTCCAGGCCGAGGCCGCACCCACCATGAGTCCCCAGGCTGCTGGACCCGGCCCCCCCTTGGCCCCCACTGGGCAGCTGGTCCCTCTCCCCGCAGTGGAAAAAGGAACAGACTCCGTAGGCTTTTTCCTCCTTTTTTAAAAAAAGGTTATTTTTAGGCCAGTTTTAGGTTTGGAGCAGCACCGAGATGCCCCTATGCCCCCTGCGCCCAGGTTCACCCACTGCCAGCACCCCTGCCCTGCCCCCCGGAGGGGACACGTGTCGAGAGTCACGGAGCCTGCACACTGGGGACACCCTGCAGGTCTGAAGGGTGACCAGCGCCCACCACAGCGCAGTCCCACTGCCCGGAGACCCCCTGGGCCCCGCCTGTCCGCCCCCCTTCCCCAACCTCAGGCGACCACTGATCTTCCCACTGTCTCTGCGGCTTTGCCTTTTCCAGAGCCCGCAGCCGCAGTCACAGCACAGGGTCTCCCAGCCTGGCCGGCACTGGGCCGCGCGCACCCACAGCCCCTCCCCATCGTTCCTTTCCGTGTTAAGCAGCACCCCACTGTCTGGATGGGCCGCTGAAGGACATCCGCGCTGTTCCCGCGAGTGCTGGCGACTGTCGCCGAAGCTGCTGTGCACCTCCATGCACAGGGCCCTGCGTGGGGGTGAGTTTTCAGCCCCTTTGCATAAATGACCAGGGATCCCGACTGCTGGGCGGGGTGCTGAGGGTGCGGTCAGTCTTGGGAGGAACGCCCACACCGCCTCCCAAGTCACCGCACCACGTCCCCCACCCCCAGCAGTGAGGGTGTGGTCCTGCTGCCCCTCGTCCCGCCAGCACCTGCTGCGTCGGGCCCTGGGCTCCGGACGTCCTGCCTGGACCACAGGGGGTCTTCCTGCTGCTTCGCTGTACATCCCCCCACGTGACAGGGGGCCCTAGGAAGGTGCTCCCACGTCCCTCAGGCCAAGGGCCTGCAGGAGGGCCCCGAGTCCGGGTGCTGGGCGGTCCCCAGGCACAGGCCGCCCTGGGGAGCGCTTGGCCGGGCCTCAGAGCAGCGGAGTGTGCAGTTGCAGGAGCAGGAAGGCGAGTTGTAACCTCGGTGCCGGTGGAGGTGGAGGGTCTTGCTCTCACCTGGTACAAAGCGCTTGGACACTCCCTCTGTCTCTTTCATATGTAGCAACTTTTTATTGTTTTAAAGCTGTGCAAACTACAGATAAAATTCGTTGTGATCACCTGCAAGGCACAGCTCCAAAAGCTCACCGAGGGCCTGCCCACCACGGGGTGGCCGTCCCCAGTGCCCGCGGCTGGTAGAACTGACCGGAACCCACGGCAGGCCTCCCACCCGACAGAAGGAAGGTCCAGGGGAGGCCCCGCCGCCTGTCGCCTGCAGCCCCGAGGACTATGTCCTCCGTCCTTGATCGCTGCCTCTCATGCGCCCCCTACTAGGCACCTGGTCTGTGACCCGGGCATGTGCCCCAACTGGGAATTGAACTGGTGAGCTTCTGGTTTGCAGACTGGCACTCAATCCACTGAGCCACACCAGCCAGAACGATTTTATTTTATTTATTTTTTTAGAGAGAGGGTAAGGGAGGGGGAGAAAGAGAGGAAGAGGCACATCAATCAGCTGCCCCTTGTCTGAGCCCTGACAGCGGGGCAGGGGTGAGGGCAGGGAACCCAGCCTGCAACCCAGGGAACGCACCCTGACCGGGAACTGAACCAGGGGCCTTTCTGTTCGCAGTCTGGGACTCAGCCCCTGGGGCCTCAGCAGCCAGGGCCGGCCACCTTTTGTTGATGGGCAACGTGCTGGGGGCTTACTGGGCACCCAAAGACCCCCCGACGGCTGTGGGCTGGGGACAGACAGGGCCGGCGCCCAGAGAGCTGCTCCAGCCCCATCTGTTCCGAGGCCCTCGGACGCTACTTGGGAGCCATTTAGAGGGGTGTTTCTGTCACTGTCCTTCGTTAAAAGACCTCGCTTGCGTTCCCTCAGATCCAGGGGGACCCGGCTGCTGCAGCAGCATCAGTGCTGGGCGCTGGGCCGCCTCTGCCGGAACCAGAACCTCCGAGCAGCTGCTGCTCCAGATGTCGGGGTCTCGGGGACCTCGGCTGGCCCTGAGCGGTTCTAGGCCATTCAGGTGCTCAAGAGGCACCTTGGAAAAGCGGGGTTCCGGGTGTCCCAGCACTTTCAGGCACCCCCACACTGTGCGCTTGGCGATCTCCTCGGCCGAAGACCCAGCTCTGCGTCCACACACCAGAGACGCCGTCCAGACGCACCGCGGCCCGAGTCACGGGCCCCTCTGCTCCGGCTGCGACACCAAGCTCCGCAGTCCCTCCCTCCAGGCATCCCGACAGCTCTGCTCCCCCCCCCCCCCCGACCCTGCTCCACACCACGCAGCCCCAGGCAGCTCTCTCTGCCGCGCCGGCACCTCCTCCTAGGCCCCTGCTGGCCCCAGAGTCGTGGACCGACCGCGTGCTGGCCGGCACCCTCACGGCGAGCCGGCCTTCAGACGGGGCTTTACAGAATCCCCGGCCTCCACCACGACTCCAAGTCCAGAGCACCACCGCATGCACTTCCTGGCACCACCACCTACTGCGCTCCCTGAGGCAACTGACAGAGCACGTGACCGCGGTGGCTTATGACACCTGAGATGCACCGGCTCTCAGATGCGGGGCGGCCCAAGTCCAAAATCAAGGGCAGGCAGAGCCCACCCTGCAGGCTCGAGCGAGGCGGGGGCCTTCCGCCTCTCCCAGCTTCCGGGGCCCCTTCTGTGAGCCTCACGTGTCCGCCGCCTCCCTCCAGGGAGGGCGCCTACTGCTGCATTTGGGGTCCACCGGGTAGCCCGGGGTCCTTTCACCTCAAGATCCTTAACTTAATCACATCCAGAAAGAGCCTTCTCCCCAAAAAGTTCACGCTGACAGTCTGGGTGGAGAGGAGGGCACACCAGCCTTTGGGCTGCCGCTGACCCTGACACGCGTGTCCGGACTGCACACTGCGCAGCGGCCCCCCCCACCAGGCCCTCCCCCGACACGCCCACCGCAGACACCCCTGGTGGGCCCCCTGCTTCCTTTTCTGCACCCCAACAACCCACTCTTCCCGCAGCCTGGGGAGCACTCGGAGACCGTAGTTCAGATCGCGCACCCGCACCCGTGCTTGAGGCCCCCGGAGCCCGCCGAGTGGTTGCCATGCCCCCAGACTCCGCCCGGCTCTTGCCCCCGCCCCCACCAGCGATGCTGGGCTTCTAGGCTTTGTCACGTTCTCATCACCTGCCACAACCCGAAACTGTCTTGTCATCCCACCTGTCTGCCCTGTCACCCCCGGCCCCCCCCGACATTAAATAATTCCTCTCCCAGCCGAGACCCAAACACACTCCAACAACCCCATGGCCCTGGGTCCCCTTTGCTCTCTCTCCTGTCAGCGGCGGGTCCCCACATCACGGACCCTGGGCCGACCACTGTCCTCACCGCGGCCTCCTGGTACACTGCTGGGTGGCGGGCCAAACGAACCGAGATCTTTCCGCCCCATTTACACTCTGCAAAGAAAGTGGCGCAGGCAGCCCGCGGCGCTGCCACAGCCGGCACAGCCATTACCTCGTTGAAGGACGAGAGGTTGAGCTTCTTGGCAATGAACTTCTTCAGGTGCAGCACGGTGGCCTGGGCGGAGCAGCGGATCCACTTGCGCTTCAGGCCGCGCAGCTTGCTGCTGTTGCACTCCAGACAGATGCTCACCTGCGGGGCAAGGACACAGCTGGGCCGGCCTCCCGCAGGGGCGGGGGCGGCCTCGGCCCCTCGGCGCCTCTCCACTGAGAACTCGGCCAGCTTGGAAACCACGGACCAAACAGACCCCGACACCGTGGAAGAGGGGTTTTCCAAAACCACTTCACACACATTATCTTGCAGTGGGTTTACTGCTGTCCTGTGAAACACAATCTAACACTGTCGGCTCAGTCTCCGTGGCGGCACAATACAGCGAGTCCGAAACTATGTGTCCCCTGCAGGCGCTTCCCGGTTAGGCAGGCGGGAGCCCCGCTCTCAGAGCTCTGGGCGGTAGGTGCAGACGGCTGACGCCAGGCGGCATGACAACAGTGCTCGCGTGAACACACGCGCACACACACACACACACACACACACCCCAGGACGCCCACCTGCAGCATGGGGGTGACGCACAGGGACCGGTGCCCCGTCGGCATTGGAAGAGGAGGGGTGCTGTGGGCAGTGTGAGGTTCACCACCTCTCGGACCATCCACAGTGCAGGGGCCTGCGTGCGTGCGTGCGGCGGAGGACAAGGCACCACAGGTGACAGACTCAGGGAGAGTGACTCTAGGGGCCTGGGGAGCCTTCCAGAGGGACGACTGGGCTGTGCAGGGCCGCCGAGACACAGCCCACCCGAGACATGACGCTCCACACAAGCACTGAACCCTCAAGCAGTTGCCCCCAAAATGGCTCAGTCACACCCCCAAGTTCAGAGGGAAGAATCGCCGAATGGATAACCATAGTGTGTATACATCTGGAATTACTAGGGACACAGAAGAACAGGTCAAAGACATGACACGCCACGGAGATAAAAGACTACCCGGCGTAACTTCTAGAGGTGAAACGCATCCACTTAAACGGAAAGCTCGGCAGACGGCTGAGCCACGGGGGAACCTCAGAAGGGGCCGGCCTTCCGAAGGGCTGGCGCCAGGCGGTCACAGGGACGAAGAGTCTGAGGACACGGAATGAAGGGGAGACGCGAAGACCGCAGGGTCTGCCGGGCACAGAGGGCAAGCTCCAGAGGAGAGGAGAGGGTGCGGGAAAGGCAAACGTTAAGAAATAACACCAGAGGGCCACCCCCAAGCAGTGAGAGACATAAACCCTCAAACTCAGGGGCAGAGAGTCCAACACAAAAAAATCAAGGGAGACCTGCGACCCCACGGGACCCCGGCCAGGCACCAAGGGGGGCCCTGACCCCCGGCTCTCAGATGGGACTGCCTGTGGACGCGTCAGGGGCCGTCTCTGCACCCTGGCCTGTGGCCGGGACGTGGGGGCCGTCCCCGGCCGGTTTTGTGAGTGCCGCCGCCGAGAACGTGCATCTCGGGTCGGACGCGCTCATCACGCCGAGGAGCAGAGCCGCCGGCCGTGTGGCCGGACTCACGTCTTTGGGGACCTGTCTGCCGGACTCCTGCTCGTTTCTCAACCGCATCACCTGCTTCCTGAATTGTCCGAATTACGTATTCTAGGTACAGACCACCTGCCAGAAGCATGACTTGCAACGCCTCCCCCCAAGTCGGTGGCCTATCTTTTTTTGTTTTCCTAACGGTCCCTTTGCAGAGCAGCAGCGCTTCACGGTGGGGTCAGGCGCCACTGTCCTTCCGTGGGCCGGGCTCTCCACGCCGCGTCTGACAACACCAGGCCCGACGCGGGGCCTCACAGGCTTTCTCTCACATCTCGTACGTTCTGAGTTAACTCCTGTATATGGTGTGAGACAGGGACACACACTCATCTTTGCCTGCAGGTGTTCCCACACTGCCTGTTAAAAACACTGTCCTGCCTTGACCAGCGTGGCTCACTGGCTTGGGGATCATCTCGCAAACCAAAAGGTCGCCAGTTCGATTCCTGGTCGCGGCACAAGCCTGGGTTGTGGGCCCGTCCCCGGTCGGGGTGTGTGTGAGAGGCAACCGATTGATGTTTCTTTCTCACACTGATCTTCCTCTCCCTTTCTTTCTCTTCCCTTCCCATCTCTCTAAAAAATAAGTAATAAATAAAATCTTTAAAAACAAAACCAAACTCTATCCTCTCCCGGTGAAGAGCCGTCACCTCTGGGCTGAAGACCGACAACCGCAAACCCAGAGGGGCCTCTGGCTCTGGGGCCGCTGACCCGAAGGCTTGACACAGCGACCTGGTAACTGGCTTCCTGATCAGGGTTGATGTGTAGAATTTCTAATACATACTTTAAAAAACAACCCATGGTTCAAAAGACGAATCACAATGAAAACTTAAAGGTATTTAGAACGAGTAGTAGAGAAAACTGTACGAATGATCAAGTCACAAGATTAGCAAAGGAACAAAGGTCAACAAAACCGACACTCTCGATTCACAGACGTTCTCCCAGAGAATTAAAAAACGGGCCACATGGGACACCCGCCAGCTGTGGGACACGTGAGCTTGGCCCCTAACCACAGACACGCCCATACCCGCCCCCCGAGAAAAGCACGGCCAGTGGGTTTGAACCAACAGGCACACACTTACCTAAACACTAGCAAATCCAGAGACGTGGTTTAAAGCCACGATTGAATCCAGGTCACCCCAGGAATGATTACGAGGACGGTGTTAACAGAAAACCACGCGGCCCTTTACTGCAGGCTGCACAGCGGAGGCGGAGGAGCGGCTGACGAAGCCCCCCCCCGGGGAGCTCTGAGGACACTGGGGACGGAGAGGGAGGGGACGGGGACCACAGAGCCACGCCAGCAGCTTCCCTTCACCACGTGTGCCGGTTTGCGCAGGCGCACGCCCGCCCCACTGGGCAGCTGCGCCGCCTGTCCTGCCCCGAGGCCCCGCCCTCCCGGCCCCCTGCCCTGTCCCTCAGCCGGGCGCCCACTGGGCACCTGGGAAGCAGGGAGGCAGCAGCGTCTGTGGGGTCAACACGGCGGCTGGGCAGAGCCCATGGCCATGGAGAGGGACCCTCTTCTTCACTGAGCGGAGCCGCACTCCCCCTCTGGAGTCCCCCCCACAGACACGCTGGTGTCTCTGAAATGCTCACAGCGACCTTCCGCCCCGAGAAGTGTGCGCGCCGGGAAGGAATCTCCGCGGTGCCTGCACCGGAACCACGCTCTCTCAATGACGTCTTAAACAAATATATTTATGTGTGTATTTTCGTTATTACACATAAAGTCACGTGCAGTATATAACATGTTCATAGATACACGTGTCACAGGCATGTTCTGACAGGACTCAGCCCCTGGTTCTCACAGCTGTTGCGGAGCTTACCCCCTCCCAGGGGAGCGTCAGAAGCAGCGGGTTCAATTCCATAACGAGTGGGTGAGACCGCAACCAGTGAGATTAACTTGGGAAGAATCCGGGGCCATCGGTTACTCAGACTTGCCTCGTGCGCTCCGTGAGGCCGGAGGGTCTTCATTTAGGCTCCACGTCCCTCGTGAGGCTACTTTACAGCTTTCGTCGGCCGCGTGAATAAGGCTCACTGACCGACGACCTCACTGACCTCATGGCCCCGAGAGCCGCCGCCACTCCTCACGGGCGGCGCGCCAGACGGGCTGACCTGGGACGTGGCGTGTCTGTCTCACACGCATCTCGCTCCTTTTTCACACTTTATTCGTTTTTTCCATCACCATCTCTCTCCCCTGCCCCTCCTCCCACCCCCGCCCGGGCCCTTCGCTGCTCTGCCCCTCGGTGGCTGGGGGCCGGAGCGGCACATCCCGCCGGCGGCAGCAGCTGCTGACGCCCCCTTGTCTCTGGTGTCTGTGGGGACGGCTCTGCTCCATCACAGGGTGGTGGCTGTTACAGCTTCCACGTTACATGGACACGGAATTTTATCAAATTCTTCTACAGAATCTCTGGGGTTGCTCAGTGCTCCCTTTTTAATCTAGCAATGCAGTAAATGACAGGGACAGATTCCTCAATGTCACATTTAAAATTCTCTTTTACGACTATTTGCACCACAAACACCTGCACCAAGGTATTCACAGGGACACCCAGGAGCGGGGCCTCGACTTCTTCTCTGGGTAAGATGTGTTACAACGAGCGCACGCTGCTTTGATAATTAAAAGAGAAAAATGAAAGAACCGAGCCAGTGTGCCACTGCTCTGTGTCTCTACCCTTTTCTTTTTTAAACGAGAAAACACCCCGGGCAGGTCCCGGCGTCGCTCTGCTCTCCCGGGGAGCCCCCGGCCGCGCGCGGGCGCAGAGGCAGCGGGCCACCGACCTGCTCGTCGCTGCGGTGGTAGTCGTTGTCCTCCTCCTGCTTCTCCTCGGCCATCTCCTTGTTGGAACTCTCATCCGCTTTGGTTTCACCTGCGGCAAAGAGAGAGAACGCTGTGCGGTCCCACCTGAAGCGTCACACTGTCACCGCCGCCTGCACGCACTAGGAACACTATGGAAGGCAGCGCAGGAAGCATGGGCGCCGTGAAGCACATGTCAGAGGTGAGGGACAAAGCACCGGTGCTGCGTGGCTGCGTGGCGCGGGGCGTGGACGGCAGCCACCGGATGGAAAGGCTCCCCGGGTGGCTCGGCCGCCCCAACGTTTCTCGGCACACAGAGCCCCCCCACCGTGGGTGGCAGGGCAGGGACAGCTTCCCAGCCGCCGCCGCCCAGGGACCCTCTCTCCTCGGACAGTGAGGAGTGCACGGGGCCATCTCCAGGTTCGTAGGGACCCACGGGACCCACTGGACGCATCAGGGCACCAGGATTTCAGGGGTTTGTTACAGCATATGCAGATTTAAATGCCATCAATTTCACATCAAAGACGAGACGTCACTTCACCGTTCTACAGCAAAACACAGACCCCTGAGCGATGTCTCTGGAGCCCACCGCCCATGCCCGCCTGTGTCCCCCTCCACCCCGGACCCGGTGAGGACACCTGCCTCCCATGCAGACACCCACCCAAGTCATTGCAGTTTGTGACACCGACTGCCGCGGACAGGGACAGGGATGGCACCCCCTCCGCGCCTTACCATTCCGGTGGGGGTCCGAGTGCTGTTTTGCAGAACCAGTCTCCCCCTTGATGTCTCCAGGCACCTCCATGCCCAACTTGTGGTAGAATTCCCTCTGTTTCCTCATTTCCGCTATTAAAAATTAATACATAACTTTTAACCCTAAGTAGGCAATGAATTACACTGACGTTCTGCTCACCAATGTCCTGTGAAGGACGCAGAGGATGACCACGAAGTCGGCAGCTGCCACCAAGAGGAAGTAACCTCCGCCGACGGGCCTGCCTGCGTCTGAAGCAGCCCGCGAGGGCTTTCAGAAGGCGGCAGCGTCTGACCCTGATGCTTGTTTGCTTTTTCCCAGAACTAAACACTAACCAAACGACGACTGCTTCTAGCTACGTGTACTCAGGAAATTTGAGGTCCTCTGTGAGTCGGTTCTGTGAAGGGTGAAAGGCTTTAACGGTGTCCTTCCAAGTTACTTATTAAAGGCCAGATATGATCTCTACGGATGTAGCGCAGCAGCTGAGTTTTAAACTACAAACTACAATGCTCTCCTGAAATTTAACAACGGGAAAACAGAACTCCTCACATACCTCATCTTGGGGAGAGCACCCAAGTGCCCCCTGCATGCGGCTCCCCACCCCACCGTCCCCAAGAAACGGGGCGCTGACCACGCCCCTCCCCCCAACAAGGCCAGCACTGCACCACTTCGAAGAGCACAGCCACCGCCACCTGCAGGTGCGTGACAGCCCTGACTCCCCGGGAGACCCGACCCCGAATGCAGCTACAGTTCTCGGCCCCCCTGCGCCCGCTGTGCCCACGCGCCCCACCGACACTCACCTTCCTGCAGGCCTGGTACCAGCTTGTAAACGATGTCCTGCATGGTCCTGTCATGACTGCCGAGGGACAGAACGGCGGGGTCAGCTGGCTCACCGTGGTCCTCCCCCAGCCCAGCTAGCAAAGCGGCCCGACCAAGGCAGCACGTGGTCTTGCTCCCGCTGCTCGCGGGGCTTCAGACGGCAGCACAGACGGGGCCCCGCCGGCGCCCTGTGCCCTCTGCCTGCTGGTTTCTCAAGTCCGCGCACGACGACTGCGGCGCCCCCCCGTGGTGGCTCGGACGGGGCCGAGTGGATGAGCCCTGTCCCGCCCCAGACGCACCCAGGGGCCCTGCTGGAGGCGGCCGGCAGCTCACCCGATGTACTGCAGCGGGTGGCTCTGGTGGATGACGATCCGGCACGTGGGGCAGGTGTTGTTCTCCTCCAAGTACTTGACGAGGCAGCTCCGGCAGACTGCGGGCAGGGGCGCACCCAGGTCAGGGAGCCGGCCGGGCAGGGCCAGCCGCCCCTGGTGCCCGACGGCAACGCGCCCCGGTCCCCAGTGGGGCCGTCGGCCGCACACTCTCCGCCTCCCACTCGGCCGGGGGCTCGGGAGCCTGAGGCGGAGCCACTGAGCGCGTTCCCATCCGAGGCGAAAGGTCAGAAGTGCTCTGGGAGCCTGAGAGACGATGGGGGTTTCTCTGCACACCATGATTTCAGTGAAAACAATATGAACTATGCCCACCACTACTTAAAAATACAATTAACTTTAAAATGGAAATTCTGTGAAAATGGGAAAATATTTTCTTTCTGAAGTGAAAAACACAGGATCAAAAAGTTATGGGTATTCCAGCCCTGCCTGGTGTGGTTCGGTGGACTGAGTCAGGGCTGGCTGGCGAACCCTTGGGTTCCCAATGAGCCAAACCAGCCAGGAATCAAGAACAAGGTGCTTCTTTCTACTCAGGCGTCTGTGTCCCGCCTTGTGCTTCAGTCAGAAGCTGTTGGGGGAAAGAAAAGGGCCCAAACGTCAAAGAACAGACTGCTGGCAACTGTCCACGCCGTGTTTGGGAACGTTCTCACAGCCACAGACACAGCCCCGGGGCCGGAGAGCACACGCGGCCGCCGAGGGCTGTGTCCCGGCCGCCCACGGCAGTGGGGTCCTGCTCGGCTGCGACAGGAAGGGCCGGGTCCCCCCTGCGGCGGCGTAGATGGGCCCGCAGCACAGGCCGCTCAGTGAAGGAAGGGCCAGAGAGACAAGTGCCGTGCGGCGTCACCCACACGTGGCGTCTGCCGAACAGACTGCGGGAACGCCGACACGGAGGCAGACGCATCAGCGGGGAGCAGGCTGACAGTGGGGGGGCCGGGGGGCCGAGCAGAAACGAGGGAGTGCATGCAGACACGCACCACGGCGTGGCGAGGCCGGGACAGGCGTGGGTGGGGTGGGAGAGGTGTGCGAGGGATACGCAGAGGAAAAGGGGGGGAAAAAGGCCGCGTCCCAGGACACAGTCACGTACACGTGTGCAGACACTCGGTCACCGTGGTCGCGTCGATGAGGTACCCGCTGCACAGGCGGCAGGTGATGTGGGCGTTTATGTCCCAGAGTTTAATCTTTCTGGTCAACATCTTTGGCTTCTGCAAGAGGACAACGCGGGTGAGCGTCAGAAGGCCCTGGGGTTTCGCACTGGAGGCGCAGCTGCAGGGCAAACGAAGCCGCGGGACGCCCTCCAGGAGGCCGGCCTGCGTGCAGGGTGGAGCCTGGCGCCACAGCCGGGCCGGGCCGTAAGCACAGTGACAACCCAGCCACTCTCCAGGGGGACTGGGATGGCCCCTCCCCTCGTTGAGCTGGGCTGAGCAGAATGGGGGGGGGGGAGGCAGGTGGGCCCCAGGGCAGGGCTGCACTGGGGCTGCGGGGCCCTGGCTGGTCCCACAACCAAGGAGACGAGTGACCACAGGGGGGCTGAGGCCCCCCCTTCTGCTTCAGGGCTCAGGCCCCTGAGGCCTGAGAGACACTGGTAAGGGTGGCAGACCCGCACCCCCAATCTAGAGAAGCAGAGTGGCCAATGTGCGGTCACAGCAGGACAGACTCTGACACTGGGGAAGACTGTGTCTGGACATTAACCGCAGTAACCAGACAGGCTGAAAACGCAGTCACTGTGACCGTCCCAAATGGCCCAGCACAGGCCGGCGCACTGAGGGCAGCTGAAACCCACCCATCTAACCAGCAGGGGCTCCAGGCCCTCCTCCCGGCTGCCAGCTCCCAAGCTGCCCCAGGACCCTGACCCCACGGTGCCTCAGCAGCCTTTGGCCCAGGACTGAGGGCTCCGACGTCCCTGTCACTTCCACAGGAGGCTAGCACGGTGTGCTGGGGGGTCCGGCTGCCTGTCGCCACGCCCCCAGCCAGCAGGCAGACAGTCCACATCCCACCCCCAACCCACACGGCCCCTCACATGGCGAGAGGCCCTGGTCATAGGTGAGGACAGCTCACTGGGGCGCGCCCCATGGCATCATGAGGTCCTCGTTGGGAGAGGTAAGAGGGTCACAGGGAGAGGTGGGGACAGTGGCGCTGCGGGCAAGATAGTGGGGCCATGAGCCCTCCCTGGAGCCTTTGGTGGGAGTTTGCGCTCCCTGGACCGTGGCTGGGAGGCTGAGATCCAGGAGAGTGCTGGTTCTGGGGCAGAGCACTGCGCAGCCAGGAGGAGCTGGTGCTGACGTCCGCGTGGAGCAGTGTGCCAAGGGACACCCCACGGAACTCTGCCCAGAGAGACTAGAGAAGGCACTGCGGGCCATCAGAGTCGAAGGCCAGAAGGGTCAGTGAGGTTGCCGGGGCGGTGGCCACATGGCAAGTGCGGGCAGACAGCCAGGAGGACAGTGTGCCTCACGCGGCAGCCACAGCACCAACGGCTCACCGTGCACAGCAGACATCTCCGCTCAGATGAGGTCAGAGGGGAGACCCGGCTGTGCCGGCGCAGGGCCTGGTGTGGGGTGGGGGGGCGAGGACGTGGCAGGGGGCCCTCTGGAGGCGGCTGTCACCTACACTGGCACCAGGAGACTCCTGAGCTGCAGCGAGCTCAGCCATCAGCAAGGCTGCCAGCCTCAGCTTGCAGAACCGAGCGCCTGGAGCCAGCTGGGTGGGCTGAGCTTCCCACAGATGGCAGGCCGTGCAGAGACCCCGCGCTGGCCCGCACTCAATCCCAGTTCTCCAGGAGCAGGGCGCCTGCTCTCGGCAGCTCTCCCTGTGGGCCCGGCCCCACTGCACCAACGCCCCAGGAAGCACCGGGGCGGCAGCCACGGCCGCTCTGAGGCCTCTGAGTTCCTGTATCACCCTCCCCAAGCGCGTGCGAGAGCCCCAGCCAAGTAACTCTGACCTGCTGGGAAGGGGCTCAGTGAAGAAGGGCCCAGCAGCACCGGGGAGAGCTGGGGAGAAGGAGAAACCACCTCAAAGACGAAAACCCTAAGGACGCGCCCAGGCGATGCAGGGCGGAGGGCAGGAGCGTGCCGACCGGCGCATGTTCCCAGGACGCCGCCCCGGCCCTGCGTGTGGCACCCCCGAGAGCTGCACCGTGTCTCCGCCCCCTGCCGGGCAGTGTTGTCACGCGGCTGCTGAGAACAGGAGGCCGCGCTCGGCCACACGCGAGCACTGTGACCACACAGCAGCACACTCAGCAACAGCAGTCTCCCAACACCAGCTAACCGAGCCGCCTGAAGACACTAAAGCCAGACGCAAACTCCACAGTCACATCAGCAAGGACGGGTCTCTGGCCTCAGTGGGGCTTGGGGTCTGCGTCCCCTCTGCTGGGAGCAGAGACCGTGGCTTCTTCGCTGGGAGCAGCACCCTCATCTCTTCTGGGGACCGTGGTCCGTGTGCTCGTGTGCCAGGTGGGTGGGTGGGAGATGCCGATGTGCACACACACGCTCCACCTCCAACACCAGGCTCTGCCTGCAAGGGCAGCCCCCCCGCAGCCCGGTGCGCACACCCCACGCCTGCTGCGAGGAGCCCGGGGTGCTGGCCGGGCAGCTGGCCGGGCGGCGCAGGCCTCTGTGGGCGCCCCCTGTGGCAAGGCTCCGTTGAGCAGAAGACCCGCCGCCTCACGGCACCCAGCCAATGAGAGCGGGGCACAGGCAGGGGAACCCCACTCACACCACTCACTGCAGGGCCCGGTGACACCAGGGCGGGGACCGGAGGGTACAGCCACACCTCTCCCTCAGGAGGCAGAGAGGAGCCCTGAGCGAGGGAGGTGGCCATCCACAACCTTGGGGCCACGACGAGAAAGAAAACAGAGCGGGGGCAGGGGGCGGTGGCACCCGGAGGTGGCCCTGGCAGAGGGCGGGAGGAGGCCTGAGCCCGCTGACCACCCCACTTGGAGACGAGACCCCCTGTCCCTGGCCGGCACTGGGACCTGCAGGCTTGCACTCTGGAATCGAAAGGCCCGTCACCACCAGGCCAGAAGACCGGCCCGAGCAGCACACTGGACACCTGCTGCCCGCAGGGCCTGCCCACCTGGACAGGGATCAGAGCAGGGTGGACGCAAGAGCCCGGGCAGGGAGCGAGGGCCATAATCCCCCGCCCCGTGGCCTCACCTCCTCTAGACGCAGTCGGTCCCCTCCCTCCACCTCCGCATCGGCGCTCAGGCTTCGGCTGTGGCGCTGTCGCTCTCGGGCAGCCGCGCCGGTCCGCTCGCCGAGTCTTCGCCTCTGCGCCGTCCTCCGGCCCTCTGCTCTCTTCCCATTTTCTAGCACAGAAACACCGTCCTTTCGCTCTGTGTCCCTGTGTGCACAGCACCCAGCCCTGTGGTGAAGCTCCGGCTGCAGTTTTCAGACTCTCCGCGAGCCAACAGCAGGCAGATTCCCCGAAGCGCTTACCAAGAGGCGAGCTGGGCAGACGTGCGTGCCTGAGCCCGCCTGCCCAGGGGCCCCGAGGAGTGGCCACATACCCACAGAGAGTGACGCGTGTCGAATGCAGCCCACTTGCACACACAGGGAGAAGAGGAAATCAAAGGGGAAGCTGCGTTTACCTGGACGTGGGGCCGGGAACCCTCCGCTACATCCTGAGGCCTGCGGAGACACAAGGCAAGGGGGCGTCAGCCGGGTGTGCTGTCCGGGCCGTATCCCTGCCTCACTGGTGGTCTGGGCCTTGCCCACGAACACACCTGTTCCTTTATTTGCTTAAAACCAGAAGAAAAACAAGAACCAATGCCAGGGAAGCACTAGGATTGACCAGGTAGACACAGGCAGGTCCCCATGGCCATTGGTGGCACTGATAGGGACTGAGGGCATCACAGGACCGCAGGGGATGGGGGGCACCATCCTGGCTTTGGTACCCGGGGAGGTGGAATGAAGGTCTGTGAAAGTTCGGGTGGGGCAATGACTCTCGGGTGGCTGGGTGGGAGGCTGGGGCCCCGGGAGGGACAGGGCCCTGAACACAGCGCTCTGGTGGGAGACAGACAACAGGCACCGGGTCGAGGTGGGACTGGGAATGCCCCTGCAAGGACTGCGCGATGCGGCCCCGGCCCTGGCACCACGGACGCGCTGCGGCTGGAGGACAGCAGGGTGGCGCCCTGGGAGCAGTGGGCCAAACGCCTGGACCGCGTCCACACGGCGTCCGAGTCGTGCCGTTTCTGCCCTGGGTGTCCCCACAACCGCATCTGTTCCTAAGCAGTCTTTGAAGCTGGATGACCTTTCATAGCAGAAGGCAGATGGGAGGGAGGTAACCAGCGGGCCTCACCGAAGGGCTGTGGTGAGGGGCCACGTGCTGAGGCCAGTGAGGCCACGGCCACCTGCTGCCACTGGGGAGCAAGGGCCCAGCCTGGTGCCCGCGCGCCGGGAAGGGGGCGGCAGGAAGGGCAACCGCAGCGGGTGGGGCAGGGCCAGAGGGCGACAAACGCTGTTGGTTGGAGCAGTGGCTGTGGGGACTGGCCAGCATGTCCCTGGGACAGTGAAGTGTGAGCAAGAGTTGAATGCTATGAACAGCTTCACGTCAATCAAGTGGCACATTCGGGACCGGCCAGCTCACCAACAGCCCTGGCAGGGCGGTGGGGGACAGCATCCCCACCTTGTGTTCCGAGGACACCGGAACCGCACACCGGGCCCCACGGGGCAGAAACCAGAGGTGGCTCAGGGGGCCAACGGGGGAGGGTCGGGAGCAGCCGTACTAGGCACCCTGGCTTTCCCCCAGAGTACAAGGGGGTTAGTGGGAAAAATGAATGCAACTTGTGCCCGAAAAAGAGAAAAATGGTAAGATCTTCCCCCAAACACATAAAAATCACTTGGTGAAACTCATTCTTGTTCTTGATCTTCAGAGCACTTAGGAACGAGAGCAGCACGAGGCGCTCCCTCCTGAAAGAGCTCTGCAGCAAAGAGACACGGTCACGCGAGCACCACACGGACACAGGGCCAGCCCAGGGGGCTGGGGACGCCGCAGCCAGGCCTCCCTCAGTGCCACAGGGGACAGGGGCACATGGGGACTCTGAGGGGACCAAGGGCTCTGGGTCAGGACTGGGGTGTGGTCACATGACCAGACACAGCCAAAGGACACCAACCACCACAGAACTGTGAACTTCAGGGTGTGGCAACTGTGTTCCCCAGAAAAGAGTGTTTTACATTAAACTGCCGTGGAAACCGTTCCTAGTGGTGAAGTTGGGGAGTATTTCCCAAACTCACACCTGTACCATTTTTACACCCAAAGAGTCGGATCCAGGTGGATGAAGACCAGTGTGAAGGCGCGGCTCTGACCCTCTAGAGGGTTTGGGGCCCGGGGCCCTCACCCTGACCTCGGCGAGGCAGAGGCACAGAGAGAGAAAAGCAGCAGCGCTCACACAGGGAGCTGGCGCTGGGAGCCCACAGCCCACTCCCACAGTGGGGAGGCATCCCAGAGAGCGTGCGTGGGAACTCAGCCACCTCCAGAAGGCGCGTCTCCCTGGCCAAGTCCCTCGGCACCTCCTCACGGGTCTCATCTGTCAGCCTCCTGACCTCGCCAAGCCAAGTGCGATGTTAAAAAAGGAAGCCCTGCAGCCTCCCGAGTGGAGGTGGCCCCGGGGACAGGTGTGATGGGGCACCGTCCTCACTGAGGTGAGTTATGAGGAGCACCCGGGGACCCCAGCTCGTCTGGCACCATCCGCAGAGCCGGGCAGAGGTGCCCCTGTGCACCGCGTGCCAAGCGGCCCAGGGTAACTCTTCGCTGTACGTAACTACGTACGTAAATAAATAAAAGACTTAATTCTATCAACACTAAAAACCAGTTTCTAATTAAATATAAAACAAAAAGGGAACAGCACATTTTAGACTCCAGCAGACCGTGCACTGGCTGGCAGTGTCCGGCCCTGCCTCAGACCTGCGACTGCCCTCGAGTGCTGGCCCGGCTGTGGCACGGCCGCCGTGGGCGCTCAGTCCCACCCTCCCTGTCCTTGGAGAAGCCTGCATGTCGGCCCCTTGGCTGGTGCCTGGGCACCAGGCTGGTGACAGCTCTCCAGGCCAACTGACACTTTCCCCAAGTGCTGGCAACGGCCTGCCGGGCCCACGTGTGGGAAGGCGGCACAGGGAGACTCTGCGAGGGGCTTCCCCCTGCGACCCACGTGGCTCCGACCTCCACCTGCACTGCCAGCAGCCTGGGCAGGGGGCTCACAGGACCCAGGAGACTGCGCCTGGGTCCCCCGGACCTCGCCCGCACAACTGTCCCTTCTCTATGTCCTCTGAGGACACAGAGTAGCCACCACCGACAGTCCCGGCACCACTGGGGCGCTCCCCGCCTGGGAAATCACCTGCAAACCCCCTGCCGCCCACACCCTCCGACCCCTGGCGCTGCATGTGGACCCCCTGGGCTTGCTGAACCCCAACCCCCATGTCGAGGCCGGGTCTCCTGACAGGAGCACTGGGCCCCTCTTCACCTCACTTTAGCCAGAGGGATGGAGGCCCAGCCTCCCCAGGGCCAGGTGGCCTTTCTGCTGCTCCCTGGGAGCCCCATGGTCCCCCGGCCCCTTCTCTGTTCTGCCTGGGCTGAGGAGTCCCCACTCTAGGCACCCGGATGGAGCTTCAAGACGGGGATGGGGGGTGAGCTGGAGGGGTGCGAGGAGGGCCCAGGCTCAGACAGGACCCTCTTGCACGTGGAGTAGAAGACAGTCACGTCGGGCAATGTCAGGAGTAGGGGAGGCGGGTCGGAGAGCAGCAGAACCACAAACACGTCTCTGTAACCACAGCGACCCTCGGCTCTCGGGTGCACCTCTGCAGACGCACGGACGCGGGGCCCTGCTGCCAGGGCCCCTGCCGCAGACGCGCACCCCTTCACGGAAAAGGCCGGCTCAGGGTGGACCTTGGGGTCCAAAGGCCATGCTGGGGGCCAGCAGGTCACCCCGAGCTTGGAGTGGCGCGGGGCCTGGGACTCCCCGCCACCCCATGGCTCCCTCTGAAGCCGAAGGGCGGCACCTGCCATCCCACACCTGTCCCACTGCGCGGGGGGCAGGAGGTGCCGGTCTCTCTGGGTTTGCAGGTGCCTGGGGGCTACACCTCAGGGAGCACCCTGACCAGGAGACCCAGGGGCTCCTTGGAAGAAAGGACAAGCATGGGGGTGGGGGGCAGGCCAGGGGCAGGATTTGGAGGTGGCCTGAGAATGTGGGCCCTGCTAGACTCAAGCCTCTACCCTTATTACCTAGCAACTGTGACAAAGGGGCTTTTGAAGAAGTAATCACGGTCCCAAATCAGGGGACCTGGGACAGGGCGAGTCCCTGGTGGCCTCATCCAAGTGCACTGCTCAGCCTTGCGATGCAGAGGCGGGTCTGACGGCTGAGTCCTGAGGCCTGGCTGAGGCGACCACGTCCACAGCCCGGAGCCAGGGGGCGCCACACACTGTGCCGACCCAAGGACTGGTCAGTGAGGGGTGTCCTGTGAAGCCACCAGGCTGCGGCAGTGTGTTATATGGCCACAGAAAGTTAATGTAACAGTTTCTAGAAGAATGGCAGTAAAACAGAGAATGGCCACTGACTCTGGAAAAACTCATCAGCGATGACCCTGCCAGCCCCAGAAACAAGAGACAGGCTGGTGAACGGTTGGCAGGGGCTGGAGCCCTCCGCATGGACTGAACTCGCCCAAACACGGGGCCTGTGGGGGTGCCTAGGCTTAGTTTCAGGGGGTGAGCACAATGGGCTCCCTGTGAGCCCCCAGAGAGAGGCAGCAGCCAACCGACCAGCACCTCGACCGCGGGCGTCTGCAGCGCCTCGTTACTGTGGCTGAGCAAACCAGCCTCCAGTGGACCCATCTCTGCAGAGGGAAAGGCAGTTACTGCGTCTGACAGCAGAAATCACGTTTCTGTGAACAACTTCAAGCACTTTCTACCCACCACTAAACCGTTTGCAAAGTCTTCTTCATGCTCTAAAGCCACCTGGGGGGCGCCCCACTGACTTCCTGGGAGACACAGGGAGATGGTCCGTGGACGGTGTGAACCGCCAGACCCAGGTGCCGGGCTTCCTGTGGACTCACCAGCCCACAGGACCCCAGACAGTGGCCAACAGGGTGGCGTCAGGGGTGACCCAAGTGACACCCAAGCATCACACGTCCCCAGACAGCGCAGCGCCACAGAGGGTGCAGGGACAACACGGCGGGGCAGAACTGGAACCCCCCAGACAGCTGTCTGCACAGGCGGTGCTGCCGGGAGTGGGGGCCTGGCCCCCAGAGGTGGACGGGGCGGGGCCTGCCGGCGTGTGGGGATGGTGATGGCGCCGCACCCGGGAAACCCGAAAGTGGACTGGACAGCAGCCACCACAAGAAAAAGCGCCCACCTCCCAGGTGGGAGCGCGACGGCTGCCAGTGGAGCCCAACCCACTCCTGGACCCACAGGTCAGCTGGGGCCAGCGCCTGACTCAGCAACAGCCAACGTGCACTCAGACAGAGGTGAAGCAGACAGGGCCGGCCGGCCACCGCTGGGCGCACGGGGAGGCGCTCCCTGCACAAGGCTGTCGGCTCCCTCCGCTGCTTTTCCCACAGAGAGCATGGGGGGAGAAGAAAATGACAGCACTCGACGTGAAAGAACCGGAAGGGCGAGCCCGTCTGTGCCCCCACTGCCCACCTGAGACTGGGCCACCTCCCCGGCAGCTGCCAGGCAGCTCCAAGGGCTCCGGGCTGACCTGCCGGCAGCAGCTTTCCGTCCCCCTGGGCTGAGCACCCGACACCGGCCAGGCCCCGCCGCTGGGAGCCCCTGGAGTGGGGTCGGGGTCTTCTGTGAGCCCCCACAGTTGGCAGGCCTCCTGGCAAGCATCTGCAATCTGCTGTTAATGTAGCAAAGTCCCACGAACACTGACGTATTTGCAAGAAAACCTCTTAACCCCCACTCTTTAAATTCACCTATATATTAGAAGTTTTCTTCAAAAAAACCAAATGACCTAACGGTTTTTAAGAATGCTATTTTCTAGTGAGTTTTAGTTCTTATCAACAAGAGTTTTGCACATTCAACGGACAACTCCGAAAACGCGTCTGAGCTGGTGTGCGCACCTCAACCCTCTCGCCGTGCGCTAAGTGTCCAGCGGGTTCTTTGCCGCCTTGTCCCTCGTGTGAGTCATTGCTGGAGGGAGAGACTCGACCTGTCGGGAAAGAGCCGTGGTGAAGACTGTTCAAAAAGCCACTGCACAGGAAAAAGGAACTGTTCCCAAACCTCAACCTACTTCAAGAGTAAAAGAAAACTGCATTTTTACTCAGATTCAATTCTGACCATTAACCAAATAAATATAAATCTTGCCCTTTAATAGATTAAAGAGAGAGTATAGACCAAAAAACCCCTCACTTTATGGTCCAAATCAAACCCCCTGAACCTTTAACTCCCCCCACTCTCAGCTGCAGAGAGCAGCGGGCAGCAGGGGGTGCCTCCACGTGGTGCCCACTCGGGGCCCTCACAGTCCTGAGCCCCAGCCGCAGCCCAGGACACCAGGCAGAGGCGTCAGCACCCCACGGCTCTGTGCGTGGCAGCCCCTGGACACCAGTTCTGGGAGCGTCACTTCCTTACGAGGGTCAAATGCCCCAAACACCTTAGGGTCTCACGTCTTAGAAAACTTCTTACAAAGACCAGCTTACAATCTTTGGAGCAAAGTCATCAGCAGGAGTATAATACGCTCTGGAAACAACCACCACCACCGTGCTCCAAACTGCTAGGACAGACTTCAGCATCACCAGCACGCACACCCACGACTTAACTGGCGGGGCTCAGGCTTTGCAACTGGGTGGGGGTGGGGAGGGGTCCTAAACATCTGTCCTGTCTGCAAGTGACTATCCCTCGCGCGTGAGCGTTAAGCCTCCCAGCAGTTTTAACTTCATGGTGATATCAGAGGAACCCACGCAACTCAAGTGACACCCTCCTCTGTGTGCAAGGCTGCTCATGGGCCTCTGGGGTCCTTTGCAGGTATAGGCATTAGCTGACACAGGGCACGTGTCAGGCTCTACAACAGCCCAGGGGACCAGCCCTCCCTCCCAGCACGCACACACCCCTGTGGAGCTCCCCGCCTGAAAGTGGGCCCAGCCCAGTGACTCTCCCAACAGAATGTGGCGGGAGGGATGAATGTCAGTGCAAGTCAAGGTCAGGAAACTGGCCCCCTTCTCATTCACTTGCTCCTTCTGAGCTGCAGGACAGGGAGCTCCACGTGGAAAGGAGCCGCCTCCCCTAAGGGGACCCCGGGGGGGCACCACCCGCACCCCGGCCGCAGCCTGAGAGCCCCATCGAGGGGACCCAGCTCAGTGGTGCCCAGACTCCTGACCCGCAGAAATGGAGATAATGACGGATTTGTTTTAAGGCGCTAAGTTTTGGGATAATTTGTTCACAGCAAAACATAAATAATACAACCACCCAGCATAATCACACCTTTAAAATTCCAAAAGTGGGAAAATAAAGAGCCTAACCAAACCCAACACCCAGTTCTGCAAGTCTTTCCCAAAAGTTCACAGATCAAATTAAGTTTTAGAAAAAGTAAAGTGTATGTTTATAAAAAAAAAAAAACGGAAGCAAGCATTGAGTAAGATGAATGGTTACATTTGGCAAATAAAAGTTTCTAACCTGGACTACTCGGGGACTCCACTGGTTAAGATTTGCAACTAGGAAATGTTAAACTGAAAATCTAAAGTGCTTTCTCCCGAGCAGCCAACGGACGCTGAGGCACAAAATGAAATACCGAACTGACAAGTTCAAGTGTCTCTCCTGGGAGTCCAAGCAGCCCAGAGTGAGATTTATATCTCCTCCTGCCCACCTGCTGGGTAAGTGTGCAAGCCTAAAGCAACTGATCTTTCTGAAAGTTCTGCTCCCCTGTGTTTGTCCACATACTTGCTGCCAGAAGGCTGCTTGCTGGCCCCATGCCAGCTGCAGGGTTGTGGGGCTGGACACAGTGCTGGGCCAGGCCCTGGCCTACAGGCTGCCCCTTCTCTCGAACCCCTAGCAGTACCTCACGCTGGAGCCCTTCCCCAGGCGAAGAGCGTGCTCACCACACCCTACATTTTCATCCCCACTTCCTAATTAAACACAGGCAAGTTCTGGATAAAAGTCTGAGTTAAAGGTTTCCGAGAAGCCAAGGCCCCAGCCCAAGGTCCTCTGCTATGTCCCATTCCTGGAGAGGAGAAGGTGCTCGAGTCAGCCGACTTTTCTGCACAGAGCCAACTGCCCCCAAAACATGCCCTGAAACCGACACTCCTGGCTTGGACCCACCCCTCCTGGCACTGAAAACAGCTCCAGACTCAGGAGGGAGGGTGCACCCGGACTCTCTGGGGCACATGGCTGGTTTGGGGACAGGAGCCATGAAGGTGCCAGACACTGCCCAGAGGGCCATGGCAAAGCCTGCAGCCCGGGAGCAGGGACTGGGAGAACAGGGGGGCAGTTTTCTGGGTCTTGGGGGTGGGCATTGTGCTTGCTGGCCTGGGAGCCAGGGTAGACTAGGAGCCTCCCTTCAATCTCCAGAGGCAGGGAGATGGGCCCCAACCTGGCCCCACCCAGGTGGCTGCATCTGCCAAAGGGCCCTGGGGCTCAGACCTCAGGGGTGCTTGGGGGCCTTATGCCCCAGTGACCAGGATCCGCGATCCCCCAGAGCCTTCATAGCGTGGGGGTCCAGTTGAGTGGACTGGGGAGATTTGGGGCACCCATAGATCCTGTCCCAGGCTGTCAACTCCTGGGGGCCTGGCTTAAGTCCCAGCACTCCTTAGGGTCTACTTGTGAGGCCTGGGTGCTTCTCCATGACTTGCTGGGGGTCCTTCCTCCCTGGTGACCTGCCTCCAAGTCCAGGTCTGACCAGGGTCTTGGCCTCCCTGTGAGCCTGGCCTTCTTCAGGGTCCTGCCCCAGCATCCCTACCCTCTTAAGGGACCTGTGTGGGGCGCTGCTCATTGCTGGAACCTGTCACATGGCACAAGCCCTGACCCCTTGGGCTGTGCCAGGGTCCCAGCGTCCAGGGGAGGGGCTGTTTCGGGTCTAGGAAGGGCTCCGAGAACTGTTCCCAGGACCCCTGTCCTCTCTGGATCTAGAGTCCCAGCTCTCCTCAGCGGGTCCTGAGTCCTGACCTTTCCATGGCCTATCCCAGGGTCCAGACCTCCCGCTGACCCCTCCCAGAGCCCCGGCCCTCCCCGGATCCTGTCTGGTCCTGGGGTCCGACCCTCCGCAGTGACGGGTCTTAGGGTCTACCAGACTTGGGGTCCCAACCCTCCTTGGTGACCCGTACTGGTTTCGGACCGTCCTCAATGCCCCATCCCACGGCTGCACGCTCTTCAGTGATCCGTCTCAGAGTCTGGCGCTTGCTGTGGTCCCTGCCTGCTGGGTCCCGGGGTCGGCCCTCCCCGGCGGCCCGTCCCGGACTCCAGTCCTCCCGGTCCCTCCCCGGTGACCAGTCGTGAAGTCCGGCCCCCGGGGTCCTGAGCATCGGTGTAGCGCTACTCCGGCTGGGCCGACGAGGGCGTAGGGCACGGGTCAGGGTTCGGAGCCTCTCGGGCCGAGGCCGCGGCCTGAGCAGCTGGCGACGCGGGCCAGGCCGGGCGGGGCGCGGGCTCACTGACCTGCCGTCTCGGCTGCGGACGAGCGGGGCGCACGCGGGGGCAGCGAAGGGATGGGAGGGGGCGCCACTGCCTCCTGGTCCCCCCCAAGAGCCGGAGAAAAAAACCCGTCCGGAGTTTAAAACAAAGAGGCGGAAATGCCCGAATAAAGCCGAGCGGCGAGTCGGGGGCGCCGCGCTTGGAGCATGCGCACTGAGCGTTCCGGCTCCCACCCTGCAGCCGGGCGAGGGCGGGTCCTAGCGGGGGCGGGTCCGAGGCGTGGTCATAAGGCGCAAGCGCGTTCGACCAGGGCTCAGAGGCTTCCGGAAAGCAGAGGGTGCTAGAGGCGGGGTCTGGGGCGGGGACGTGGTCAGAGGGAGCAGCTCTGCGGAGGAACTTGGCTGGGTGCGTGTGACCGGCGATAGGTCGAGGAGGTGAGGAAGGAGGCGGGGCCTGACGGGGGCGGGGCAAAGCGGAGGCGGGCCCTGGTGGTGGGCGGGGACTCGTGGGGCGGGGCTTGTCGGAAGCGGGCGTTCAACCAGCCACCACCCAGCCCATGAGACCCTGCAGCACCCTGCAGGCAGCTCCTGCGGATCTCTGCTGCTCCTGGATCAGGATTTCCTCTGGCGCAGACGATCTTTCTCACATTCATGTTCTTCCTGAGAAGTAGCACCGAGAGCCCTGCGTGCACTAGCCAGGAGTGCTGTGGACACTGGGCAGCAGGGCTGACCCCCCAACTCGTCCTTGTGTCTACCTTTGTGCAGGCCCCCTCTGAAGCTGTAATTAATCAGTGACCGTGACATCTACGTCCTGGTGAGGGCCACACTGTGCAAGGGACAATAACAGAGGGAAACAGCTGTCTGGGCAGGCAGTGGGGTGCAGTAGAGCGGATGTGCACCGAAGGGGCGCAGCTGCAGCCTGCCCTGCAGATGTCTGTAACAGAAGAGTGCAACGCTCAGGGTCTGAGCACTACCAGCAGTGCAGAACGAAATTAAAGAAGACTTCAATAGGCGGACCGATATCCATCTCCATGGGTTGCAGACAATAGTGTTAAGATATTAATATTGCCCAATTTGATCTACAAATTCAACACAAACCATATTAAAACCCAGTCGGTTTCTCTGAAGAAATTGCTGATCCTAAAATTCGTATGGAAATTCAAGGAACCCAAAATAACCAAGAAAATCTTGAAGAACAAACTTGCAGGACTTCTATTTCCTGACTTTAGAAATTACTGCAAAGCCACCATAATCAAAACAGTGTGGTGCTGGTATAAGAGACATATGTCCACCCCCAAATCAGAAAACAGTGTTCATAGCAACATCCATGTAGCCCCAAGGTGGAAACAACACATAGCCAACGGATGAATGGATAAATAAAACGGGGCGTATCCATAAACGGAGCTATTATTTAGGAAAGAGAAAGGAAGTACTCATACACAGTGCAACATGGATGAACCTTGAAAACATTAGGCTCAGAAAATAAAACAGTCACAAACAACCACATATTACGATTCTATTTACATGCAATGTATACAACCACAACACCAAAGAGACAGAGAGCAGATTGGTGATTGCCACGAGCTGGAAAGCTGGGGGATGGGCAGTTACCTATAGTGGGTATAAGGTTTCTTTTGGGGTGATGACATGTTTTGGAATTGATTGTAATTATGGTTGATACATTTGTAAATATACTGAAATCTATTCACTTGTACACATTTATGGATGAATTGTGTGACATGAGGATTACACCTCAATAAAACCCTTGTTACAAAGAAATTACAAAATACTTAGAACTCATAAAAATGAAATGCTGCACATTTTTCCTCATGGGAAAAGTGTAAAATTACATAAGTAACTCACACCATAAATACACACATGTATACATACATAATGACCCTACCCCATACAGAAAACAGATATTTATCTTGAAAACACAAAAATGAAAGGTTACATACCCACTCTTACCATACATACCAAAAATGAGGCATCTATTTCACCTTATGCAAAATATTAGATCTTCAGCTCGCAGCAGGCATATGCAAATAGACACATATCTTCCAAACCCACAAAATGCAGACATGCATTTCCAGTGTCTGCAGAAACACCTGTTAACTGTCTCGCATTGTACGCAAAACTTCATGACACTCAATAGACAGAAAAATGAGATTCTAATTTCAACCATACAGAGAACACAGCTAGACATCCTCGTACTTTACACAGGTAAAGCAGACACTCAGTCACACATATGATACTAATGTTCCACCTCAGAGCACTGTGCTAGAAGATCCACCATGAAAAGCTCACACGCCCCCCAAAATGGATACCCACCTCAAGATATTCTTTAAAAAATAGATCCCACGGGGGGCGGCTGTCCATGGACATCTGATGTGTCTGTGTCTGCCTGTCCCAGTTCTCAGAGCAAAGTCACTCACAGCCACTTTCAAAATGTCTATCTGGGAGGCGTCCAGGCAGACAGGAAAACGCCCCTGCCTTTCCTCGCTGGAGGAGATTTGCTTACGATCCTGAGTAAAGAGAAGTTTTTCCCTGTAGAAGGCAGATGGGTGAGTTTCCTAATATCAAGGCTCTTCTTCCGAAACGCATGGCACCGCCAGGTCAGGTGCCGCCCGACGCAGGGGGCGGCCGCGGGACCCGGATGCAGGCGTGGCTGTTCCTGGCAGGACCGACACTCTCTGCCTCTGGCTCCCGCATCGTGTGTCCTGGGAACACACACGTGGGGACGTGGGGATGGCAGGCTACCTCCCTGGCTTGCAATAGCGAGAAATCTCACTCCCTTCACAAAGTCGGATTTAACACACACAAATCTCACACCAGTCACACACACAAGGAACATGGTTCACACACTACAAACCGAAGAATTAGATATCACCCTTTCTTTCCCCTTCAGACAGAGGACTCAGGTAACTACACCCACACAATGCAGAAGAGAGAGACCCACCTCATCCCACAGCGCCACAGCCCACACAACCTTGCGTCGCACACCAGACCCCCACTCACAGAAGACACACACACGTGGGGGCCGTCAGGACCCCACAGTGTCAGGTACCCCTTCTGCCCCCTTGCTCATTTGCTCTCTCACAGACATGCACCCCAGAGAATCCTCATCCCATACCCATGTCACACACACACCCACACACTCACAGAAGTCAGCCTACACACTTGCGGGCTGAATAGGTCTGAGCAGTGTGGATGGAATGGGGCTGTGGGGTTCTTGGTGGGAGGGGCTGGGCCAGCAATCTGCATCCCGGGTACTTGTTGCCACAACGTTGGGGTGTATGTGAGCCCCTGTGCTGGTCTTTCCCCAGCTATGCTGGAGTGGGGCGACCGCAAGGGCTTCTCTCTGGAGGGGAGAGCAGACCACTGTGAGCAGAGCCGTCTCCCTGGCCACCTGCCACCCACGCAAATGGCTTTGGGTGGACCAGTCGCTGACTGAGCTTCTGTAGGGAGAAGGCGGGAGTCACACGTCATCTTTGAGGAGCCTGAGAATCCGGATTCCGACCTGTCGACTCAGCTTCCTGCCGTGGGCAGTGTTGGGGTGTGTGGGCCGTCAGCAGTGGTGACGGGGAGGCAAGTGGCACGAGCAGACACGAAGGACAGCCTGAACACCGGGAGTGTGGGATGCCTCCTGGGATCGGGTCCAGAGGGCGGGGGCCAGCTGTGCGTGGGGGAACGGGTGACCTGTGGAGAGCCTGCCAGGCAGCATGTGGGGGGTGCAGGGGTGAAAGGCAGAGGGTTGCCCGACGCTCCCCAGCCCTCTGCTTTCCTCAGCCACATGCAGCTTTCAGGCACGAAGGGGAGGACACACCTGGCTTCTGTCCCCACATCACTGACACTCTCTCGACCAGAGCAGATAAAACATTCGTGAAAAACAACAAGCGGGATGGCTCCGCCACCTCACATGTAAGGTGAGGTTCCCTCCCTGACGACTGAGGTGCCTCCGCACCAGCCTTGGCACATTGACGGCTCTCGGTTGCTTCGTTTTGAGCAAACGGTGTTTAGAGAAGACACACTAGCCTGATGAAGCCCCGCAGGGTGCCGCTCTGTCTGGGATGCTGATGGGAGCCCATGTTTGGTAAAAAGGAGGCAAGGAAACGGAAACAGGCTGAGCCATGACTGCGTGCTGAGTGCTGACGGTACTGCAAACAAGCCTTCAGCGACAGCTGGAAGAACACGACGCGGGAGGTCTTCGTGGGGAGACCACTAACAGGCCTCGGGGTGCCACGTGTGGGCCTGGGCCCAGGTGTGGCTTCCGTGGACGGTGCCTGACCTGCACTCCAAGGTCGAACAGCATGCGTGCTTACGTTGCAGACGCTCGTCCAGATTTAAACAGAACGGTCCCACTAAGAATACAAGAAGGCATTGTTCCCAAGTGAATACGCCTTCCACATCACGTGAGTTTTAAGGCTTTATTTCCCACACTTCCCAGTCTTATCAGCACCGTGTGAGTGAGCGAAGCCCCTGCAGCCTCTGAGGCCACTGTTTTTGTTGTAGCCGTTCAGACAGGCACTCGGTCATGCCTTGCCGTGGTTTGAACTGGCGTTTTCCTGAACGCTGATGACAGTAGCCATGTGTCACTGTGTGCCATCTGGGTATCCTCTTCGGTGACATGTCTCTTTATGTCTTTTGCCCATTTCCTTTTTTTAATCCTCACCAAGGACATATTTTCATTGCTTTTTAGAGAAAGAAGAAGAGGAGGTTGATGTGAGGGGGAAACATCGGCTGGTTGCCTTCTCACACACACCCTGATGGGGGATCGAACCCACAACATGGGTATGTGTCCTGACTGTGAATCAAGCCTGTGACTCTTCCTTCAGTTTACAGGACGATGCTCCGTCGGAGCCACACCAGCCAGGGCTTGGCCATTTTCTAATAGGACGTTTTTGTTGTTTTTTACTGTTCAGTTTTGAGGCCTTTGTACAACGTCAGGCACCAGTCCTCTGCTGGGTGTGTGGGGTGGGTGTGTGATTTCTCCCACTCTGGGCTTGCACAGCCCTCCCGCTAGGAATTGTCTTCAACCTGCCACCGAGTCTCACCCTGCTGATCGCCGTGATCCATGAGCCTGCTGTGCCTCCGTCTTTAAGGTGTTAGTGGTGTAATTTGTAGCATCGAGTGCTGCGTGCATTTTGCTAACTTCATGCACAAGAATGTGACTTTCTCTGAACTGTAAATGGCACGTGTCTTTGGCCGCGGTTTCCACGTCCCGTGGCTGGTGTACACGGATGCCGGGGACGATCGTGTCGCCGAAGTGCTCTGGCCCTCGCTGAGCTGCCTGCTCCGTGGAAGGGCCCCGGGCTGGGGACAGGCCCGGTGGTGGAGCAGGACGGTCCCAGGAGTGGTGAGCACAGGACTTCCTAATGGAATCGCGGTGCCCCAGGGACACCACGGGCGACCTCGGGAAGAGTCGAGCTGGGTCGGTAGGGAGACAGGTCCTGGGTGGAATGCGGTGGGGACGACGCCGGAGAAGAGACAGTCCCTGTCTTCCTTCCAGGCCTAGGGTCTCTGGAACAAACAGAAACCCGACTCTCCCCTCTGCTGTTTCCTCGGCGGTGATTTGCAGATAAGAACCACCGTCACCCCGCAGGCCCAGGTCCAGCGCCACCTCCCCCTGGGTTCTTGCTTCCTCCATCCCGCGCTCTTTGAAACCCGACCCTAGCCGCCTCTTCCAGGCTGGCCTGCGGGACTTGTACGGAATTGGGGTTGAGAGGCGCCGAAGGGGATCTTTCCCACCCCTTCGGGAAATGCGGCCTTCCTGCTGAGCAGAGTCCCACCCTCTCCCGCACCCACGCACGTGTCCTCAGCTGGGACCACACAGCGGGCGGCCGTGACCGGGCTGGGCCCCAGCCGAGGAGCCGTCCCTTCCGCCGCGGCCGACCGAGCGGTGCCGGCTTCACCACGGGCCCCTTTCCTACTCCGCGGAGCAGTGACCCCTGGCCCTGGGGCGGGGACTGATCCTGAGCTCCGCCCTGCGGGCCCGGCCCCACCTCCGCGGGCAGCCCTGCCCACGAACCGCCCCTGAAGGCGGACGGCGGGCGCAGGATGGCCGGGCCGTCGGGGGCAGCGCAGTGGGCCTCCGAGTCCCTGGCCCTGGCCGAGCTGGGGGCCTACCACGCCTACGCGCGCCGCTGGGTCTTCCTGCTGGTGGTCAGTCTGCTCAGCTGCTCCAACGCCACGGTACTAGCGGGGGACGGGGCACCCCCACGGCGGGGCGGGGCCGGGGCTCGATTCTGCGGAGACTGGAAGGGACGGTGGGACCCCACGGGCAGGGGAGTCCTGCCACCACGCAGGGGCGGGAGTGCCGCGACGGGAGCCCCGTCTGACCGCGGCTTCGCAGAGGGGAGAGAGGGCCGCTGTCTCTGCCCATTTGCCCGTTTGCTCTAAGGCGGTTTCCAAAGCGCATCCTCCTGCGACAGGACGGGGTGGGAGACACTGTGGACAGATGAGAGGCTCCCTCCAAATGTGCCCACCCCTCTGAGAAACCCCACACGTGGGACAGGCCTTCCCAACCCCGCTCCTGGCCCCCCTTCCCACCCAGGGCAGGGACCCTCCTTGGCTACCCGTGCCCTCCTGGGACCCTGATTCGCGTCCGAGGTCCCCCCAGAAGGCCTTCCTTACTGGCCACCCTCCTCCCCAGCTTCCTGGCCGGGGTCCACAGTGACTCCAACACCTGTTCCAGAGCTGTCCCCACTGTTGGCAGGGTCTCAGCCTGGAGCCCGGGGGCCAGAACATCCAGGCAGGCTCAGCGGGTGACCCTTTCTCCACCTCCGCACCCCAGCTGGGCCATCGGCAGGTCCCCTAAACAGGCACCTCCATGCACTCCAGCAGAGCGGGGTGTGGGGGAGAAAGAATCTTTATTCCGCCCTTCCAGGTTCCTCCAGCAGGTCTAATGCTCAGATTGACAGGAGACACATGAACAAGATAGTGACCACATGCAGTTACACAGGCACCCGTGGGAGGAGCCCGCGCAGAGTGCGAGTCCGAAGCCGCCAGAGGAGGCACAGAGGGCTTTCTGAGCTGAGGGTGGGGAGGGGAGGTGCCGGGGTGGCAGGAAGGTCGTCCGTCCCGGCAGGACAATCGGGGAGCAGAGGCCCAGGGAGGAGAAGTTGCCTGGCTCTGTAGAGAGGATGTAAAGTCATCTGGCCACAGCTAATCCCGGGCAAGGCCCTTAACCTACATTCTTTGAGGGAGAGGTAGGAGTTTTCCGTGATCCTGCCCCTGCAGGGAGCCTCCGCTCAAAATAATTCACCTGCCACAGCAACCATGGCCACCTTGAGGAACCTGTTCTGAAGGACGTCAGGGGCTTGGAGCTGCCCTGCCCACCCCGACCCCCACGCGGCTGCCTGCTCGCAGGTCAGGCTGCAGAGGCACTGCCCACGGGGCTTCCCTGGGCCACCCGACATCCCACCTCCCCTTGTGCCAGGGGAGCCCAGGGGCGATTCCCCAGCCTCCTACGGAACCGGAACCGCAGGGACTGGTCAGGCAGCATTTGGCTGCCGTGCAGTCATGTGCTGACAAGCTAGTCAGCAGCAGGGCCCGCCTCTGCTTCGCTGGCCTTGAGCTCTGGGGAGGAACTGGAGGAGGGCGAGACCGGCGAGGGACCTGAGGCCAGGGAGGAGGGATGGGCTTCGGTCCACAGGGCAGGTGTGGAAGACAGATACCCCATACGCTCTCAGCTGCATCGGGCTGGATGGAAAGCTTTCGGGCCTGCCCAGGGAGCCCTTTTTGCCCACTGGCAGATCTGTCCCCTGCTTTGTCCTTTAAAGAAGAAAGAAAAGGCAGCTGTTGCCAAAGCTCTCTGTCATGTGAAGGTCTGTGGTCAGAGCTCTCAGCCAGGAAGCCTGGGTCTGCTGCCTAGGCTGCAGAGGGTGTGGCCTGGGCCAAGCCCCAGGGCCCTCTTCCTGCTGGGGGATCGGGAACTTGGGTTTGTGACTCTCAGTGCCTGGTCCACACTGGCCCACCTCCCTCCTTTCCTCCGCACCCACCCTCCAGGGACCAGACTGTGTCTCACCTCCCTCCTCCCCTCTTGTCTCACCCACCCTCCAAGGACCCGAGGGTGTCTCACTTCCTCCAGGAAGCACTCCAGGCTGACCCAGCCACACCCACTTCTCCCTGCAGGCTGGCTGAGTGGAGGACCATGCATACCAAGAAGCCTACAGCTGGGGAACTCGCTTTAGTCAGCTCACACCTCCCAACGCTGGTCTGCTGTGGGGGTGGGGCTCGAGCGGTGCCACCCCACAGTCTAGGGGTTTCCACCTGGGAACGAGTTTGCAGCCGGGCTGCAGGTGTCTTTCGGGCTGTCTCTGTCTCCCACTCCCTGCATCCCTCCCACGGTCTCTTCACTCTGCCCATCCGTGGCTCTTGGTCCCCCCTGCCTCCTGCCTTTGTCCACCTGGGCGTCTACCGCAGGAACTGAGTACCACCCTGCCTGCATGTCTGCCTGGCCCGGGCACGCACTGGGGGCCAGGGCCGCTGGCTCCCCCACCCCGACACCCATGGGCTCTGGGCCCCAGCCACGCCCAACGCCCGTCTGCCGCACAGCCCACTGGACAGGAGTTCCAGCCCCACGGGCAGCCTTCAGGCCTCTTCCTCCGTGGGTCAGCCCCAGGGGGACCGACAGTCCTGCGGGCTCTTGTCCAGCTGTCAGCCCATGCTGCCCCAGGACCAGGCCCGAAAGGACAGCAGTGTCCACACCCTGGGCCTGCAGTCTCAGCCCTTCCACTTGGCAGCCTTCTCCGGGGCCGGCCAGGGGAAGACCCTGCCACCAGGGGATGGCAGGATACTTCCTTTCCCCAGGCTGGCCGACCAAGCCCAGGATAGCAGGTGGCTTCAGTGCCTGTGGCACTGGCCCCACCGCTGACATCGGCATGTGCCCCACAGCTATGGCTCAGCTTTGCACCCGTGGCCGACACCGTCGCCCAGCGCTTCGGCCTGTCCACCAATCAGGTCAACTGGCTCTCACTGGTCTACTTTATAGTGTCCATCCCATCTGGCCTGGTGGCCATTTGGGTCCTGGACTCAGTTGGGCTCCGCTGGGCGGTGAGTCAGACCCTGCGCCTCGGCCTGTTCTGGGATGGGGTGAGGCCCCCGGGTGTGGGCTGGAGGGCCATCGGCCCCTCCCCAGGCCAGGGTTCCAGGGCAGAGCCGTCGGGGTGAGCTGGATGGACATGGGCTGGCCCGCCAAGCTCCTGACCTCGTCCCTGCAGACCATCCTGTGCGCATGGCTGAACTTCATCGGGAGCGGTCTCCGTGCCGTGCCCTGCATGCCTGTCAGCGTCAAGGACCCATTTGCCTTCCTCATGGGTGGCCAGAGCCTCTGTGCCCTGGCCCAGACCCTGGTCATCTTCTCTCCGGCCAAGCTGGCCGCACTGTGGTTCCCTGAGCACCAGCGAGCCACAGCCAACATGATCGGCACCATGGGTGAGTCGAGGGGCGAGGCATCCGTCTCCTCCAGCCCCTCCACACTCCCAGCTCCTGCAGGGCAGAGAGCTCTGCCTGTGGCCGATCTACCCTGTGCTCTGTCTGTCCCTGCAGCAAACCCCCTGGGTGTCCTGGTGGCCAACGTGCTGTCTCCTGCCCTGGTGAAGAAGGAGGGTGACATCCCCATAATGGTGAGGGAGCTCACGGGGTGCAGCCTCTACACATGTGCGAGTTTGTGTGTGATGTAGGAAGCCTGTTTCCATGTGGTGTGCTCACGTGCATGTATTTTTGTGTTGTGTGCACATATGTTCCTGTGTTGTATGCATGTGCCTAATGTGTGGTATGTGTGCATGCATGTGTGATGGGTTCTAGTGCACACCTGTGTGTGGGTGTGCACCTGCCCCCCCCCCGGGCCACGAGGGTCAGTGCCCTGGGTGCATGAAGGACTTTTCTGAGTGGACAAGAGCTGGCACTTTCTTAGTGCCAGGCGGTTTCCTTGTCAGGGGAGGCCTCAGTGAGGTGGGAGGCGACTGGAGGGCGGGGGCGGAAAAGGTGAGGGACAGGCAGGGAAAGGCCTGGAAGGGGGTGCAGGTGGCGGGGGTGCTGAGCCAGGAGGGCAGGAGGAAGGGTCAGTCGCGGCCGGTGTGGCTGGGAAAAGCTCTGTGGGCTTCTCAGTGGGAGGGTGGCTCAGTCCTGTCTGGAACCGCCCCCTGGACATGAGGGTGTGGCTGGGCACCTGAGGAGTCACGGAGGCGGGGCAGGCTCGGGCTGAGGGTTTGAGGTGCGGTGGGGGATGAAGGGCTTCCAGCTGTGCCATGGCTGCTGTTGGGGAGATTTGCAGAGGCAGGAAAAGGGGGTCCCCAGGGCCATTGGCTGGGTGACTCTGGAGCTGTGGGAGAGGACAGGGCTGTCACTGTGGAGCCGTCCTTTGGCGGCACTTCGAAAGCTGGGGTTCCGGTGCAGCAGAGCTGAGCAGGCCCGCCACGGCTCCCCGAGGCCCTCCTCGGGATGGCGGCTGGGGTGCCCTGGAGCTGCCGGCCGGAATAGCCTGTGCCGACACATGCGTCCTTGCGGCCTGCGTGTGCGCGCGTGCGCACACACACCTGCATGCCACGCCCTCTCCCCAGCTGGGCATCTACATGATTCCCGCCGGACTCGCCTGCCTGCTGGCTACCTCGTGCCTCTGGGAGAGTGAGCCCCCCACCCCGCCCTCTGCCGGAGCAGCCCAGTCCACCTCGGAGAAGTTCCTGGACGGGCTGAAGCTGGTTGGTTTTGTGGGATCTGGGGCTGGGGAGGGTCTGGGGCCTGGGAGGAGGCTGAGTGGAGGGGGTGGGTAGGGCTCCCCCCACCTGTCCTGCTGGGTGGGGCTGCCGTGCTGAGTGGCCTCTCCCCTTCCAGCTCTTGAGGAACAAGGCTTACGTCATCCTGGCCGTGTGCTTCGGGGGCGGCATTGGTATCTTCTCCAGCTTCTCGGTCCTCCTGCAGCAGGTCCTCTGCGTGGAAGGCTACTCCAACGTGAGTGCCCGCCTGGCCTCGGAAGCCGCCACCCGCAGGCCGGCTGCCTCTGCAGCTCCCACCCGTGGCTGTGGCATGTGACTTCCCCAAGCCCCGGGTTTCCACACCTGGCCAGGGTGGCCTCCTGTCACACACACTGTCCAGCTGCCGTGTGCAAAGAGTGTCAGGTGCCCGACGTGGCCTGCAGACGGTGGGCTAGGGCCATGGGAAGGGCGGCCCTGCTTGGGCACTAGGGCTTTCAACTCTGTCCCGGTGCCCGAGCAGGACAGCCAGCGAGGCAGGCTCCAGGGCAGGGTACCCCTCTGACACCAGACGGTCTGTCCGAGGGAAGGGCCTCCGCCTACTCACGGTGGCCCTGTCTGTGCCCTCTGTTGTCTGGCATTGGCCTGACGAGTGGGCATGGGGCCCAGATGTTCCCAGCTCCTCAGGGGCTCAAGGATGAAGGGGCATGTGCAGTGACCAGGCTCTTCCCTTAGCAGTGGTTGAGTCTCGGGGTGGGGGAGGCACCGGGAAGAGGACCCACCTGGGGGGTGTAGGCCCCCCTGGCCCACACCCTCCACCTGCTCTGCAGTCCTGCCCAGGCCTCAGTGCGCTCAGTGGCCCTGTGCCATGGTCTCCCTGGGAATGGTGTGTGCACGAGGACGAACAGTGATGGCTGCTGGGCCTCCTTCTGCCTCCAGGAGTTCGCAGGCCTCTGTGGGGCTCTGTTCATCGTGTTTGGGATCCTGGGGGCACTGGGCCTCGGCCTGTACGTGGACCGGACCAGGCATTTCACAGAAGCCGTCAAGGTTGGCTTCTGCCTGACCTCTTTGGTCTGCGTGGCCTTTGCCCTGGTGAGTGTCCCCTGCTGCTGAGACCATTCTGCAGGGGGCAGCGGGGGTGGGGGGCCCTGGGCACGGTGCCTCCCGCCCCACTCAGCCAGCGCTCGTGCTGGCACAGGGCCTGGAGGGCATGTCTGACTGCCGCTCCGGTGCACCATTCGCCCAGGTGTCCCAGCTTCGGGGACAGACCATCGCGCTGGCCGCCATCTGCTCACTGTTTGGGCTCTTCGGCTTCTCCGTGGCGCCCGTCGCCATGGAGCTGGCGGTGGAGTGCTCCTTCCCTGTCGGGGAGGGCGCCGCTGCCGGCCTGGTCTTCATACTGGGGTGAGTGCACCCCCTGCCCCTTCCCTCGGGAGCCCATTGACCCTGCCCTCACACGTCCCAGGCCACATGGCCGGGACCCACCTTCTCCGGCAAGGCTGCCGTGTTCTGACCACCTGCTGTGGGCCCGCGCTGCCCAGAGCGCCGGGCACTTGGGCGGCAGTGGCGTCAGCTGTGCTGAGGGCCCCGTGGCTGCCCAGGCAGGTGGAGGGCGCGCTCATCATGCTGCTGCTGACTGCCCTGACTGTGCGCCGCGCGAAGCCAGGCTTCTCAGCCTGCCAAGGGGACCAGAACTCCCTGGATTGGGAGGGTGAGTGTCCCAGCCCATGGGAGTCCTGAGAGTGCCAGTGTCGAGAGCCAGGCCTGGGTCCCCACCCACTCCAACCTTGGGAACCTCCCTCACCTGCCCCGGTGCTGTCCTTGGTGGGTGGGTGCTGGGCACCCATGAGGTGGGGGGCAGGGGACAGAACAGACAGAATTCCCCAGCTCAGCCTGGTGGGAGTAGCCCTGGGACCCTCACAAAGCCCAGCCTCTAAACCCTGCATGAGTCATTCTTAAAGTGAGATTGGGAAGAGAAAAAGAGGTCAGACAGACAGAGGGAGGGGGAGGGATAGCAGGAGAGATGGGCGTGGGCGTGGTGACCAGAGGTGGTGCTGTCCGGGGTCACCCTGTGCTCCCAGTGAGTGGGGTTGGCCAGGCTCACGGGTGAGCCCCAGCAGAGCTGACTGTGTCCCCCCAGTGTCCATGCTGCTGCTGGCCGGCCTGTGTACACTCTTCAGCTGCTGTTTGGTGCTTTTCTTCCACCCCTCATACCGGCGCCTGCAAGCGGAGGCCAGCACTGGCCCTTGTGGCAGGGACAGGGCGGCCCTGTGGCAGACCCTCCCGGAGGCCCCCCCCAGGCACCCTGGGGGCCCGGACCGCTCCGAAGATGCAGGAAGCCCTGCGGCAGCTCACTCCTAGGGCTGAGAAGCTGGCCTGGAGGTGTGGGGGGCACTGGAGCTCTGGTCACCTGGGTCGTGACAGCCACTGCTGAGCCTGGGCACGGCAGGGGGGCCCAGTGGCCACACCATACCTGCAGTGGCTGGCACAGGGGCACGTGGGGACGTGGCTGACGGGGAGCCGGATAGGCTGGGGTTCCCGAGGGTCCTAGGTGTCTGGAAGGCACAGGTGCGGGGAGCCTTCCTCGAAGGAGTCCCTCCCAGAGCCTCTCTCAGCCTGGGTCACTGAGTGGGCAGACCCTCAGCCTGGGCGCTGACAGGTGGGGCCGGGCCGGGCTGGGCGTGGCAGAGGCAGGACCCAGAGGCGTGTGTGCCCTCCGGGCCCTACTGCCCCAGATGGACACGTCCCTGTCCCTACAGACACTTGCAGGCAGGTTTGTAGATTCAGGTTTATTGAACTGGCCACAGCCCGGGTCGGGGTGGGGACACCCGTCACTCCTCTTTCTCCTCCCCATGGGTGAGCACATAGCTCAGCGCCTTATAGTCCAGGTTGCCTGCAGCATCAATGGTAGCAAACTGGAACATCTGGTTGACCTGTGAGCAGGGTGTTGGGGGTCAGATTCAGGCAGGAGGGGACAAGCCAAAGGGTCCCTAAGGGCTGCGGCCCGAGACTGCATGACAGGCCCTGAGCTCCCGCTGGCTCTGGCCTTGTTGCCACACTTGAGGAGGGGCCAGCTGGGGCCCAGCCACAGGGCGTCCCCTCCCATGGCAGCACTGCAGCATCTCTGGGCTGGGGCACACTCCCAGCAGACCCCTGGAGTCCCGGGGGCCACGGGGGAGGGCAGCAGGTGGGGCAAGGGGCCGAACCTCCTCTGCAGTCATCTTGTCCGCCTGGGACATGAGCAGCCGTTTGATGCTGAGGATGAGGAGAGAGGCCCAAGTTAGCTGCTCTGAAGAAGGGGTCAGCACAGGACAGCTGGACAGTGATGGGGGGGCGAAGCTCACAGCACAGGCGTCCACAGGGGTAGGGGCGCTTGGAGTTGGGCTCACGGAGCCTTTCCGGACATACACACATGTGCACACACACACACACGTCACTGTCCCTGTGGGGCGGAGACTGAGGGCATGGGAGCCAGACACCCCGCCCCCCAGGGCTTGGCCCAGGGAGCCCCCCAGACCCAGCACTGGCCGCAGGGGCAGGACGGGTTCACCCTCTGTTATTCTGAGGGAAACTGGGTGGGGCGTGAGCTTAGGAAACTGGGAGCCGGAGCCACACTCACTAGTCCTTGTGGATGCTGCCTTTGCTTTCGGGGTCCAGCATCTTGAAGGCATTCAGGATGGTCTCCTCAGTGTCCGTACCTGCCCACAGAAACTCTCGGCCTGCCCTGGCCACCTGTGCTCCCGCCACCCTGTGCTGCCAGCCCAGAGGGCCCTCCCGACCCCAAGCACCTGGCAGCCCCTGCCCTAGGCACCTGTGCTCAGAGTCCTGCCCGGGCCCAGGGCTGCGCACATGCCCAGGGAGCGGGGGCGGGGCTGGGGCAGAGTGGGGAAAGGTACGTGAGGTGTGTGAGGCACACGTGGGGGTCCCAGAAAGGTCCTGGGGCTTTTCAGGAGATGTGACAATCCAGACTTGTGTGAGAAATGTCTGCATTTCTAAATAAACGCATGCAGCCTGGCCGAGGCCGCAGGGCTCACCACTCAGCTTCTCGCCGAACATGTTCAGGAACATGGTGAAGTTGATGGGCCCCGAGGCCTCCTTCAGCATGGCATCCAGTTCGTCGTCCTTGACGTTGATCTTGCCTGTTGTGGGTGCAGGGTCAATGGGCAGGGCTGCTCCTGCTGGCAGGTGCCCCACAGGGATGCCCTCTCCGTCGTCCTCCGGGTGGCCCCAGAACAAAGTGGGGAGACTGGGGATACCTGGCCCAGGTGTAGTGGGTATGGGTTCTGCATGTGAACTGAACCCCAGACCCTGAGCCCCAGGCAGGCAGACTGCCAGCAGTGGGGACAGGAAGCCATGTGGAGCCGAAAGGGTCTGCGTCGTGTTTACCCGGGCATCAGTGGGGCCCAGAGGGAAGGTGGGTCTGTGCAAGTCCCCCCCAGGTAGAGGCCAGCCTGTCCCCCTGGCTGCAAAGGCAGGACCTCCTCAGGCAGAGAAAAGCATGCCGCAGGTGGGGAGCAGCGGCCGCCCCCTTCCCTGTGTGCCCCAGCAACACCCCTGCCAGCTCAGTTGTCACACCCTGTGGGCTGTCAGGCCAGAGCCGAGGTGGGGGCCGTGACAGCCCTACTGGGAACCTACCCAGGGAGGCGTAGGTGTCTTTCAGGTCCTCCTTGTCAATGAAGCCATCCCGGTTCTGATCCATCAGCGTGAAGGCCTGGAATAGGCCGCCCACGTGAGCAGAGGTACCTGCTCATACTGGCCCTGGAGCGAGGCCCACATGAGGTCTCTCGGTTGCCTGCTTTCGGGTTCCCAAGCCCCACCCCCCACCCCGGGACAGGGACTTCTGGGTTGGGGGCCTGCTGGGCAGAGCGGAGCCTCACCTCCTTGAACTCCTGGATCTGGGTCTGCTCGAAGTTGGAGAAGACATTGGAGGACGCCCTCTGGGCCCGGAGGGCCCCCCCCTCCTTCTTCTTGGTCTTCCTGCTGGCCTGTGATGACAGCACTGGGGCTCAGGGTCCCCCAGCCCAGCGGTTTTGGGGGACTTAATGCAGAGGGTGGCTGGGCCACAGCTTTTGGGTCCTGGGTCCCCAGGCTAGGGCAGCTGCAAGTGCTCGGTGAGAAGGCCCTGACCACATAGCACCCAGGGTTCACCTTGAACTCTGCCGTGCTAGGTCTGCGGTCCAACCAGGATCCAGCTGGGTGTCCAAGGAGCAAAATGGACTGTGCAAGTGGCCAGCAGGTGGGTGGGCTTGTTCTGGGTATCTCGCTAAGGTGAAGGCCAGGCCTCTCCCTCTCAGACTGTTGCTGGGGCAGCCAAGGGGCATGGGTGTCCCCTTCCCCACTGTGCACACACACCTGCACATATGTGTACAAACTCCCCTCATGGGCACACGCACTCACACCCACAGTCACTCACATGGCCTGGTGCCTACTCACCATGCTGGTCTGCCTGGTGGAGTGATCTGTACCCTCCCTGCCCAGGTCAGCTCTCTTAAGCTCCTGCCCAGTCCCCCAGGATGGCTTGCATGCTGGCTGTCACTCCCTACAAGGACAGGCTCAGGGCCCCCCAGGGGACCAGATAACTACAGAGTGAGCTGTGGCAGTCAGCAGTGACTCAGGCGCCCCATCCTGCCCTGCCCAATGGGGCCCCCAACTTCCTAGGCACCTCCCACCAGCTCCCACTCAGGGCCCCCGTTGTCCTGGACTCTGCACATCACCTGGCCATGTGCAGGTGGGCTGAGGGTCTAGGAGCTGCAGGAGCCAGAAAAAAAGGGCACTTTTCCCACATGAAAATCCGCACAAGGTTCCTGTACGTGGACCTAGTGGCCAGTCACCACATGCCCCCCAAGTATATTCTGTGTGCCCTCACTTCCCTGCCTGGGTGGCAGAGAGGTCCCAGGCCCCCCACCCTGGTGCTGGGGCCACCCTTCTGTCCCCACTGCAGGCACATTGAAGGGGCCTGAGGGCCAGAGGGGCCAGGCAGAACCAGCACTCAGCCTGGCCTTCCCGCTATGCTGCGGCCCTGTGGGTGCCTGTCACCATGAAGTGAGAGGCCAGGTGTGCTAGCCCCAGGTGGGGGTGGGTGGCAGTGGCAGCCCTCAGTGGGCAGGGGTGAGTGCTGTGCAGCCTTTGCAATTGCAGTCGTGGGGGGCTGTCTCTGTGGGTGCTTCTCTGAATCTCTGCCTCTGCCGTGGCTGTGGTGGGGGCCCTGTCCCCAGAGGCACACTCAGCGAGTGGAACAAGAGGCCCTCTGAGGGACCTGTAGGGACGGGGGTGGGGGACAGGGCTCCGCCTGCAGGACTCCCAGAGAGAACATGTGCCCGAAGTGGGGACCTGGGCCTGGCCTGCACTTTGGACAGGGCCTCTCTCACCCCTGGCTGGGCAGGGTCTGGCTGGGCCTAGAAGAACCCCAGCAGGAGTTGGGAGTGCCACCTACACAGAAGGCATGTGGGATCTGTGCTCACAGGGCCCTGAAGGGGAGGATTCCTGGGGCCCGCCGGGGTCTGAGCACTGCACTAAACATAGCCTCAGAGCCTGGCTCCTGGGAGAGTATCGGGATTCGACGTGGACAGCTGGCTCTGACAGGTGCAGGGTGTCCGCAGGCAATCCTGGTATCCTGAGCCAAGTGGAACCCTCCCACCAGCAGACCCCAGGAAGGGCCCTGGGCTATATGTGTCCCCCATCTTCAGGGGCCTTCCTGGGTGGCGCTGTGTGTGTGCGCCTGTGTGTGTCCCCAGGGGTCACCATCTTTCACCTGGTGGAAGCTAACGGTGTGTGGTCCCCCACCAGCACTCTGGCCCAGCCTTCCACCCCCAGAGACACTTATTTTTGATTCTGGAAGCAGCAGTTGCTGAGGAGCCTGGTTTATTTTAAAACTCAGGGGAGGACAAAGACATTTGTCACCTGAGGTCATCTGCCCAACTCCTCCAGGGCAGCATGCTGTGAGCTCCCAGCACGGCCACCCAGCCTGTCCTGCCCGCACAGGGAGTTTATCTGGTACCATGTGGGGTCAGAGTGCAGAACATCTCCCACAGGGAGCCCAGAGGGTGCCCAGGAGGCCGGCCCCGGCTGCGCTTTCCAGGAAAGGGCCCCCCCAGCCTAGAGGATCAGCCTCCAAGTTCCTCCCCGGCCCAGGAAACAGTGCAGACGGTTTTCCAGTTGTGCAGCTGGGAGGCCTAGAGCTGGGATTGTGGAGAAAGCGGGTGGGCTGCAGTTCCTGCCCAGGCCCCTGGAGGCGGCCCTGTGCCCCCCCCCCCCCCCCCCCCCCCCCCCCAGTCCCTGCCTCACTGGGCTAGCTGTGCCCGCATTCTGTTTCCTTTAGGTTCAATTCAGTTCCCTTCCGAAACTCAAGGGTTTGGTGAAGAGTAAGAAGTGGGCGCCCCCTCAGCAGAGCAGGAACCCTAGTGAGTCCCAAGCCCTGGTTCTCAGGGAACTTCTCCCAAAGCAGCTCCAGGTTGTGGGCGTGGAGAGCGTACCCGCCAAGCCTCGAGCCCCATACGATGGGCACCACGCGCAAGTATGGTGGAGAGGTGGGGCTGCCTGGCCACCACTGCCCCATTTCCGGGTGGCCCCTCTGCACACCAGGCTGGCCGGGCTTCAGCAGCGCTAACCAGAGTTGAGGGAGGTAGAGGACTGCTCTGAGGAGGGGTGGCAGGGGGCCGAGATGGAGGGTTTACTCCGGGCCCTGCGGTGTGACTGTGCGCCCCTCCTTTCCACACATGAGATCTGGGGGTCGGTGGCCCCTAAGCCCAGGCCGAGGTGGACCTAGGACCTTGGACTGCAGAGTACTGAGGGCAGGAGCCAGCGAAACCCAGGGAGCCGGCTCTACCCGGGGGCGGGGGAGGTCTTCCCCGAAAGCTCCTGGAATCAGGGTACTCCAGCTGTGCTAGGGGACTGGACAGCAGGCGGCCACCCGCCTGCACAGTCTGAGGGGTCTGGGGGCCAGGGGCCTGCCCAGGGGAGCCGGACGCCGGGCCCCCTCCCCTGGCCGTCCTCGGAGCTGACCGGGACGGAGCTGACTCGTCATGTGGCAGGGCTCCTTCCCGACTGCCCCACTGTGATCGAACCGCCCCCAGAGTCCGGGGAGAGCGCCCTCTGCGCACCGGGTAAGCGCGACTCAACCTTCTCATACATTGGGCCTGCGGTGCGGGCCCCACCTTGTTCTCCACCGGGCCCGGGGACCACAGGGGCTGCAGGGGCAACTCAAATCCGCCAGGAATGCGCCTGCGCTGCCATCCCGCTCACCTTGCAAACGTACAGCCAACAGATAGCTGCGCGCCCGCGCAGTCTGCACGCACCCTGACGTCACACGCAACACGTAGGCGTGCGCCGTTCTCCTTCTGGCCACTAGGGGTGCCACGACGCTCTCACTGGTCGCTGACGGCGCATGCGCTCTCCCCGGTACCTTTTTAATTAATTAATTATTTTTTTTTTGTAACTCAGGCTTTAAGCCTTGAGACGTCCTCCTTCGCTTCGGATTGTGCTTCCGGTGCGAAGGTCACGGACAAGATGGTGCCGCCCGTTCAGGTTTCTCCGCTCATCAAGGTGAACTAGGGTTCTCGGCCGCCTCTCGGTCCTCGGCTTAGCGGGCCCCCCGCGTGTCCGACCTTACGGAGCCCGGGACTCCCGACTCCGACCCCGCGGGTGCGACCCAATTGCTCACCCCTGCCGCGCGCCCCCGACGCCTTTCTCGGTCCACCGCGCTCCCCGCGCCCGGGACCCTGCGAGTGCGACCCAGTCCCTCCCGGCCCCGCGTCCTGGATTCTCGACACCGTAGTTCGACTCCTTCTCCGTCCACCGCGCTCCGTGGGCGGCTCCCGGGCCCGGTCCCGCTGCGCCGTCTCTTACCGCCCTCTCCCCGCAGCTCGGCCGCTACTCCGCCCTGTTCCTCGGCGTGGCCTACGGAGCCAAGCGTTACAGTGAGTGACCCCGGGCTTCGCTCGTGTCCGCAGTGCCGGCCGGTGAACCGGGGAGTAAGCGCGCGGAGGGCGGGTACGGGCGTAGCTGGGAGCAGCCCCTGTCCGCCCTGCCCGGGAACTGGGAGTTGGGGGCTGCTGACCTCTGGTGGACGCGGGGCGGGGTCCGCGGAGGGCTGGGTTGCGGGACCCTGCCGTGCTCTCTGGTAAGGGGGACCTGGCGGACCTTGACCTCCGGCGAGGTTAGGGAGAATTAAAGGCAGGCACGCGTGGGATTCACGCTGGACCTGAAGGTAACGTTACGTGTGGACCGAGTTCCTTTTACACAGCATTTCAGTGGAAGCGCCTCCCTTCCCGTTTTCCCTGACCAGGTTACCTGAAACCTCGGGCCGAGGAGGAAAGGAGAATCGCGGCGGAAGAGAAAAAGAAGCAGGATGAACTCAAACGGATTGAGAGAGAATTGGCAGAAGGTACTGGTGTTTTGAACCTTATAGATTTGCCCTCCACCCGGATCTTCAGGAATAAACCTCTGCTGCTGGTGACCCACAGTGGTGGGGCGGGCCCCCTTCTTTCACCTAGCACTGGTCCAATGGGAACGTGGGGACACCTCGCCTTTGATGAGGCCCAGGCCCCTAGGCCCCGGAGGTTAACTCCAGGAACGTGAGGTGGCCAAGTCGCTCTCAGAGGCAGCGGACCAGCAACCACACACTCGTCCCTTTGGTGTGCATAGAAAAGGACCGCCCGGAACAGTTTAGGCAGAGCATAGTCGGGCTTCATGGAACTAGACCTGGAATGTTTAACCCAAATAACTGAAGTGCTCCTTTTGAGTTACCTGACCAGGTAATAACAGGAGTTTTCCTTTCAACCTTTCAGCCCGCGACGACAGCATACTGAAGTGAGCCTGCCTTGTCTGAGCTGTGTGCATGAATAAAGCTTCCTGTACCGTGTGCTGCTCTGGTTCTCCTTTTCTGTCCTGTGTGTGCTGGGTGGGGACAGGCCAGGTTTCAGAAGAATTGTCACCCACCACAGACAGGATTTGGTGGAGGGAGGGAAGCACAGCAGCTCCATCCCCTGTTCTCTGGGGCACCCAGGTAGTTTGTAACAGGCACAGCTGGGTGTTGTGCTGCTACTTGATCTTCACCCCTCCGGGCCCTGGCCAGACACTGGACACGCAGGGCAGGGGGCCGCAGTGCAGAAGTGAGGGTAGTGCGGGTGCCTCGCAGCGGAGGTGTGGCTCTCCAGCCTGCCTTGCGGACCCTCCCCTTGGCCTCAGGGAGGGGATGTGGCCCGAGGACCAGGACAGGGTGTTACAGAAGCTGTTCAGGCGGCTCCGCCCCAGAACCTGAAGGCTCGGTCAGGTCTATTATAAAACGAATTCACGTGCAAGTGGAAGGGACCCTGGGGAGCCACGTGCCCACACTTCAAAGTCCTGGTTTGAGTGAGCGCACCTGTGGGGCGAGCAGTCGGCTGGTGCCGAGTTCCTCAGGGAACCCGGGGGAGCCCAGCTCCAGTCACAGGACCAAGTCACCAGGTGTCACTGACTGCTGAGATGGAAGTAAACGCTCCTTCCTGTGTGGCCTGGCACTGTGGGCTGTGTTCACCCTCACCTAGTGCCTGCTGGGAGTTGGGGGAAGCTCTGTAACAGCCGACCTGAACCCTCGCTGCTAGGACTTTCCTGTGCAGTTGTCCTCCAGTGCTGGGGACAGGGGCACACATTCTGAGGTAAAAGTTCCTAATTTCTGCCAGATAATCGGTCTCTGTCTCAGTGTGGGGTGACTATGCCTTCCTAACTCAGACGCGAAACCAGTGGAGGCACGGGGCGCTGGGGCGAGTGGACCCGCTGCGGCAGAGGCTGGGACCGGGGAGCCTGCAGGCACTGGAGGGAGGTCAGCCCTGACCTCTGGGTCCGTCAGCAACAACACGGAGCCTTTGTCACAAGTGATTTCTGCACAGGTCACTCAGATCTGATCCCGCCGTACTCAAGGCTTTGGCCTTCGTGCCAGAACTTTCTGGTTGGTCGTATGCAATGTGCCGCTGCTGTAATTTCTACCATAGAAAAGGGCAATTTGTTCTCTTTGCATTTTATTCTAGATTTCTGGCCATATATTGGTTCTAAAACATGGAAAACAGCATCTCTGTATCCATCTGTCTACCCATATACACATACGTACATGTACAGACTTCCCACCGATGCTTTAGACACATCCAGACTTTCAAAGGTCTCTGGTATTACTATGTATCCAAAGACAGTGCGTAAGTGTAGGGTCGGCTACACTGTGTTACTTGTAATTGGCTTTAGCTGACAGACATAAACCTTAAATTCAGTATTTTCAAAACTGTCTTCATTTTCTCAGGCTTCACAAACTCCTGTACCAAGTGGTGGGAGGCAGCATCCAGTGGCTGTAGGAGCTATCAGGCCCCGCCCAGTGGCTCACAGGATGCAGCAGGTGGAAGACTTGGGTGCTGGGCCGCCATTGCAGACCACCTCTGTGCCCCCTGCAAGAGAACACAAGACGGGGCACGAGCAGCACGTGCCCCAGCCAGGCTCCTTCCCACCCGCTCCTGTGTCCTCCAGCAGCCCTGCAGCGGGAAGGGTGGCCACAGACACCCGTGGGCAACCTAAGCTGCTTAGCTGGGCTCAGCCTTCTGATCACAGCCCTTGGTGACACTTTCAGCCCTGACTTCCCACGACCCTGAAACCGCTGGTTCCCTCCCCACAGCAGGGCACTGCAGGGAGAGCCACAGAGTCCCAGAGCCTAGGTGGCCGAGCACAGGTGGACAGGAGGCAGCAGGACAGCCTGGTTCCGGCCTGGGCTGCCCCAGTGCAGCCAGGCCCCTGATGCAGGTGGAGAACAGGCAAACCACCACTCCGGACACAGCACAGGCAATGCCATGCACGCCTGACTCCTGGCTCTTGCTCTCCTGTGTGTGTGTGGAATGGAAGTGCAGTTTGACTTTCTGCGTGACTCGGAAGGACTGCTCTTTGAACCAAGGTCTATTAAGAGTCCATGATGTTTCAGCCAGGCCTCCCTCCCCCTCAGAAAGGAAGTAACAGTTATTTCTTCCTCAGGGAACATGAGAGAACTCCCCAGCTAGGGCCAGGCTCGTGAGCCGCTTTGAATTAGCAGGACCCATTCCCGCTGCCGGCCTCCCGCTGCCACCCTCCTCCAGCTGCCTCTGCAGCGAGTGACCCGAGGGTGCTAACCGCAGGGCTGTCTGAGCCCCGCCTTTTCTTCAGTTCTGTTAACAGTGCCCCACCCCCCACCCCTGAGCCTGCCCTGCACCCGCGAGCCCAGACCTTTCTTGGCCGCTGTCCTCTCCTGCTGCTGCTGCTGCTCCTCTAGGGCCTTCACTTTCTCCTCGTACTCATCTGCCAGGGCCTTCCACTCCTTCCTGTTGTTCTGCAGACGCTCCAGCATGGGCAGGATCTCCGCGTGGAAACGGGAAAACTCCTGGAAAGGGAGTCGAGAGTGGGACCCCTCCCCCTCCCCATGGTTCACAGACACACCTGCAGCCAGGGCCCGAGAACAATGGGAAGGCCATGGAGGGTACCCCAGATGGGGTTTGGGGGGGAACATTTGAGACAAGACCTTGAGGTGACTGTGAGGATGTGGGAGCAAGAAGGCTGGTGGGGAAGCTGCTGAGGAGCCGGCTGGGTGCAGGGAGCAGGAGGGACACACTTGGGGTTACACTGACGAGTTCGGATTCAAGTGCAGGTGTGCAGAGGGTGGGGCCGATGCGGCACTGGGAGATCTGTGACCCCACCAGCTCCCCCCTCCTCCTGCAACCCAGCTGGCCCTGCCCTGCCCACTCACCTTGTACACAAAGCTGCACACAAAGTCGATGAAGCCAACCTGCAGTTTGGGGAGCTCAGCCGCCTTGTTCCGGTCCATCATCGGCTTTGGGGACGGGGAGGGACAGTGAAGGGCTGGGTCAGGTGTGCCTAACACATTCCCCAAGCACCAGGGTGAGCTGACACCCACTCAGCTCTGGGAGGGAGGAAGGTGGAGTCCTTGGCCCCAGGGCCCGGCCTGCCTGACAGACCTGGCTCCTGGGAGTGAAAAGCCAGGACAAGCCCCTGAGATCCCCCCCAGGGCAGCCCTGTCCAGGTCCCAAGTCCCCCAGGCTCCTGGCCCCAGGAGCTCTCCGTGGTCCTGAAAAAAGACCTGGGGCTTGGTGCCTGGGCCTTGGTGTTCACATACTCTGGACCCACCGAGCTGCCTCCTGCCAGCCTCTCCTTCCCAGTGACGCTTGGCCTGGAGCTCAGGCTGGTGAGAGTAGGCCAGGCAGGAGCCTAGAGGCCTGGCCTGCAGGGGACAAACCAGCTACGTGTCCTTCCCCTGGGAAACTTTGCTGGTGGGCCAGGGCACCCTTTCCTGCTGTCTCTGCACAGAGCCTCCTCAAACCTGTACTCAGGCAGCCCCTCACCAACTGGAGCTGACTTGTGAGATGAGCCCTCTTGCCATCTCTTCCGTGGCTGCCAGACGCCACTAGCCTGGGCCTTCCTGGGGCAGCTGAAGGCCCTGCTGCGTCCCCTGTGCAGCTGCCTGGCTCATGGAGCCTGTCTGCGGGGAGCCGCAGCCTAGGTCTGCCCGAGGCAGCCTTGCCATGGGCACTGCCTCTTCACCCAGACCCCAAGCCACCTGACTGAGACTGGCTTGTGTCACGTGACCCACAACGTGAGCTGGAGGCCCCAGGACCTCAGAGCCCCGGGTGCCTGTGTGCACCACTCCAGCACAGAGGCTCTGACCATGGGGGAGCAGAAGGTTCTGGAAGGAACACTCACAATGGGCTGCTGATCCAGAACGGTCCTTTCCAAGTCACCTTGTTCCCAGAACTCGGCTGCCACCAGCAGAGCGACCTGGAGGGCACACAAAGGGGCCTCACCTGCTGAGAGTTCGGTGCTTGGCCAGCAACTGTCCTGAGAACTTGCCAGTAGGCTTCGCACCCTTGGTCTTCTCCACCTGGGACCCTCTGGGAGCCCCCGGTCCGCTGCCCAGGGGGCACAGGGGCACCTTCCACCGTGGCAGCTGTCGGTGCCTGACCCAGAGCAGGGCGGTGCCCTCAGCACAGCCTGTGGCCCCTCCCCCTGCCCGACCCCCTGCGCAGCCCCAGGTGCCTTCTGACCTTACTCTGGACCTCCCAGGGCTTGGTGATGGCAGACAGGTCACAGGCCGTCATCATCATGGCCCTGTGAGCAGAGGGAGCTGGAGGCAGTCCCATGCTGGCCCCTGCTCCCCCCACTTGCCCACACGCTGCGGTCAGCCAGCATTTATCCAGGACCTTGCTGATGCGCACAGGCTCCCTGACCAGGCCCCCTGGGCTCCCCCGGCCCCCTGTGTGAGACCCGAACCCTGACTGCATATGAAGCGATGAGGCTCCTGCAATGAGAACACTACGGCCAGGCCCTGCAAACTATGGAGCCGGCCTGGCTGAGCCCGAATCCCTGGGTCTCCCCCAAAATGAGGGCTGAAGCAGAGCGCTTGTTTGGGGTGTCAAAGCTGGTAGGCAGGGAGCTGTTCTCCCTTCAGAGCCCCTGAGGCCCCTGAGGGACCTTGGCAGAAGCAGAGTGTCTCTGACCCTCACGCCGCCGCTCACATCACTATCTCCTTCCGCGTGGTCTCCAGCGACAGGTACTCCACCCAGCTCGCCCTGTCCGTGTGGTTCTTAGACTCGTCTACGATCTTCTGGAACATCGTCCTCTTCCTGGACCCCAAGATCAAGGAGAGAGGGTCGAACTCCCCCCCACAGAGGACCTGGCCACATGCACGTTCCCGACCCTGTGGCCCTTCCAGGAGAGGACCCCCACCCAGCCCCCTCAGCCGGAGCCCACAGGCTGCCCACTTGAAGTAGAGTGCCAGGTCTGTGGCAATGATGGCGATGTCCATGAGGTGGATGACGTGCTCATGCTGCCGCCGGTTCAGGTTCTGGTAGATGTTCAGGCCCT